GCCGGAGTACCCGGAGAAAACCCACGCATGCTCAGGTAGAACATGCAAACTCCATGAAGAAAGACCCCCGGCTGAGAACCCCGGGTAGAAGAAGGTCATTTTGGGCCAAATCATAAGACGTCTCCAGATGTTTATGTCTGGAAACCATCAGCAGTAGGAGATCAATGTTTGTCCACCATGTTTTTCCATTTGGATCTGTCAAAGTTTCTATTTTCTATGTGCTCAGTGCAGAAATTAAGGCTGTGCAGAAAGTGTTCGAAGGGATGTGGGAAACTAGAACTATGTAATTTGGCCGTGCAGAGCTTGTTGACGCATCAAACATAAACCAGGAATAGGTCACATTACAATCCGTAGTTTTACATTTGACGGGTAAAAGTCTAACTCCTTCCAGCCAGTAAGAGGCGCACTTGCTGGCTCTCAATCCGTGATGTTTTCCTGTCAGCTCTGCTAATGCTTATAATAATGTTCAGTAATCATTAGCAAACATTTAACACACCAGTTTAGAAGAAAAGCAGCAACCTTTGTGTTTCTCCCCTTTGCTTCTTTAAGTCAGCAGTTATACTCTTAAAGCCTGACTGAAGTTCACCTTCATTTTTCTTCTTCTTAATTGGCTTGCATCGACCATGGCATTCTAACCAGATATAAACACTGATATATTTTGGACCCTCCAAATGAAAAAAAAACAACAAAAATTTTTCATATACTATGTTAATTTTTAGCAGAAATAATGGTTTTATTTTGCACCGCTATAAACATTCTCTGGATTTATTATAATTTTTTTAAATGGTCTTTTTGAAGAAAAGTTTTTAGGTATGACCTTTAAGGATAATTTCTTAACATCTAAAGCATAATCTTATCCAGTTGAAATAGAACCGTAAAATCTAGAATGAAGTTAACATTTCTAAAATGAAGTCAATTACCTCTCATTTGAGCAGGTTAATCAGAGGATTTGCCAATGGAATTAGTGTTTTTACTCTTAAAATAAAAATAATTAGATATTTTACACTTGAAATAAGACAATTCTTATTTTAGATGTAAATCTTATTCATTTTTGCAAAGTGTCTCACTTACCTCCTCAATTTAAGAACAAATGCTCTTATTTTAAGAAAAAACCAAATTTGATTTTTGTTTTGGAAAGAATTAATGATCAACTTTACAAAAAAAAAACACAGAACCAGAACCAAACTCTCCATTAACTGAACTGTACACTGGAAAATGATCTAGAAATTAGTAAAAATGTCTTACATTGGGTGTATTTACCCTTAATTTGAGTAGGTTAATGAGCTAGTTTGCCAATGGGATGAGTGTTTTTACTTCTAAATAAGATAATTAGATAATTTGCACTTGAAATAAAAAAATGTAATAGTTTTTTAATATTTTAAATGTAAATTGTCTTGTTCCATTGGCAAAATATCTCACTTTCCTCCTTAATTCAAGAAAAAATGCACTTAGTTTAAGGAAAAATTACTTATGTAGAATAACAATTTGTTTGCAGCGTAGGACAGTTCTGATTAGGGTGATTTGAATTAAAACAGGCTCTTAAAGTTAGTTTTGTAAAGTTTTGCTTTAAACAAGGCTTAAATAATAATGGTTTAAATACAATTGGATGTTCTTTCAGAAAATGTTGGGTCTTAAAGTTTCTTTACTCCACTTAGGATAATTTGATTTCTAAAACAGTTGATGATTAATTTGATAAATCGTGGATGACGGGTCTCTTAAGTTCAAACCACGTGTAAAACACAGAAGTCTTGTACATTTAAACTAAGGTTCAGACCCACAGATGATGGAAATAGGTCATATGTTTGCTCCATGAATGTCTGGGAGCCTGTTTAATCTCGGCTGGGTGTCAGGCGGACGTGTCTCATTAATAAGGTACCTTGATGTTTCTGTCAGGCTTCACCAGACATCCAGGAGTTTCTGGCCTGGCAGCATGACCTCGACTGCGACAGCAAGGATCCAACGCAGGCCAGACCGACCGTGTTCAGATGGATGGGGTCGGCCAAGGAGGTCTATGTGTCTGGGTCTTTTAACAACTGGGCCACCAAAATCCCGCTAAACAAAAGGTAGCAGAACTTCAAATAATATCCGTTCTCTTATACCTGACCTGATTCTTGATGTTTTTATATAAATGTGCAATGCTCTTCTTGCAGTCAGAATAACTTTGTGGCCATTGTGGACCTCCCTGAAGGGGAGCACCAGTACAAGTTTTGCGTTGACGGACAGTGGACTCTGGATCCCACTGGGGTGAGCAGGAGCTTTAAACCTAGACTAGTTTTTCCTCGTTCTTTAGTCCTGTCTGTTCTCTGGAGCTGCTTTAGCAACCTTCTGCTTGTGCTCCGACAGCCCGTGATAACGACCAAGACTGGTACAGTCAACAACATCATACAGGTGAACCAGACCGACTTTGAAGTCTTCAATGCCCTGGAGATGGACTCGCAGGATTCAACAGACCTGTCAGGTAAACGGCGGCAGACTGATGGGCTAAATATCAATAGAAAAAGTGATTAAACACTGAAGTGAGGCCTCTGACCGGCTGCTTAAAAAGAAACTGTATTATAAAGAATATGTTGAGATCAGGAGAGAGCAATATTCCCAGCAGATAACAGTAAGGTCAGGGTCCTATGGCAGCAGACCTTCTCTGCTTAATTCTTTTAAGCTCTGTGTTGTTTTTTGGAAATGCAAAAGTTCATCAAAAAACATGTTTTTTGGTTCATAAAGTGAAATTTAAACCAGCTAAAAACAATCAGCTTTGAAAAAATCAAAAAACTCTGATCTGTAGTTTTCATCACCCAGCCTGTGACCATCTTTTTTTTAACTTTTTTTAATCTAATGTGATGTTTGTGCTTCAGACTTGTCCAGTTCTCCACCCGGACCCTACCAGCAGGACGGATATCTCATCAAGCCAGAGGATAAGATCAAACACCCTCCTATCTTGCCTCCCCACCTGCTCCAAGTCCTGCTCAACAAGGACACGGGGGTCTCTGTGAGTCAGCTGACGTTCTGACCTGGAGGTCTCAGCCTCTGTAAGAAACTGCTTCCTGTGACTGATTTAAAAACAATCCTTTAAATCTTCCTCCAGTGTGATCCGACACTACTTCCAGAGCCCAACCACGTCATGCTGAACCACCTGTACGCCCTCTCCATCAAGGTAATGCTGGTCAGCATTTTAACGGATGATTGTTCAATAATAGAATTAACTTTTAGGAGTTTAAATGTTGGAGAATTCGCTATATGAAAGCAGACGATGTTTAAACTGCTGCTGTAACCTCTGTGTCTTTCAGGACGGGGTGATGGTTCTCAGCGCCACTCACCGATACAAGAAGAAGTACGTCACCACCCTCCTCTACAAACCTATATGACCCTCTGAGTCCACCGTTCTCCACAGCTGCTACTTCTAAAGTTTATTGGAAACAGGACCAACCTTTGTGACCAAGCCTCAGAAAATCTGATTTTCTTAGATCTTTTATTTAGTCAAACTGTTTTAATGTTCCTTCATAACGTTCCGTCATGTGAGTGTGTGAATAAATCAGTAAAGCTCCTCCTCTTATAGATTCTGTTCATGTTGTGGCTCATTTTGTTCCCTCTCTGAGTTTTTACTATAATCTGTTGAAGGGTCAGCCTGGAGGCACAGGAGTCACCAGGTTTTTAAATTCTTTATCAGAATGAAACAAAATATGTATTAAGAAATAACCGTATGCTTAGACTGTTTATCTAATTAGTCTGCCTTTATTTTTAGCAGCTTCTGGATTAATCTGATCTTCACTTATTGAACAGTAATTTAATTCTGCTTGTTAAATAAAATGTGCAGAGACAGAAACTCTCCACATGCGAGCAGACTGAGTTTATTCAACTCATTACCTTCTAAAAAAAAAAAAAATGGTTTCTAAACTTTTCTTCCTCTGCTCCATTTTGCTTTATGATTCACACCCCCTCCAATGAACGTCAACCTTCTTACAGTTCAACAAAGAAATGGTAAAATACATAATGCTATAAATAAACTATTAAACTTCCATTTTTCCCCCTCTATTACCCATGTTACCTTTCTTGGTAACTTTGATTTAAAAACCCCTTTATGGCAAACAAGGTGAAATCCATCCATCCATTTTCTGACACGCTTATCCCCACTGGGGTCATGAGGGGTGCCTATCTCCAGCTGCCTTACTGGAGATAGGGCAACACAGAGAAACAACCCATCACTCACACCTAAGGAGAATTTAGAGAAGCCAGTTAACCTAACAGTCATGTTTTGGACTGTGGAAGGAAGCCGGAGTACCCGGAGAGAACCCACACATGCACAGGGAGAACATGCAAACTCCTTGCAGAAAGACCCGGGCCAGAACCTTTTGCGCTACCCACTGCAGCACTGAGCAGCCTCAAGGTAAAATCATGAGGTTAATTATGATCTGCAGGGTCCATCTGTCTTAAAGATGAGTTTAACTGCTTCATAGAAAACCACCAGTTATCAAATGTTACCTGCTGTAGATTAAGTTAAAAATATAGATAAAAAAAATAACTTGATAAACCAAATAAAGTTTATCAGCAATATCTCAAATTTAAAAAAAAAAAATCAGCAAATATCAGCATTAATGTTTTCAGGGTTGGATTATATAAAACAAATATGTGTTAAGTGTCATGATTGATTTATTTTTTTATATTAAATATATTAGGGCAAGTAAATTATTTTTATAATTACATTGCATCAACCTTGATATTTGCCATGTGAATATTTTTCTTTGGCATTACAGAATAAGGTAATAAGTCCTCTTCTGTTTTCCATTAATACACTGGGCTTGAAAATTTACTTTTTTTGGAAGTTTTTCTCTGAGTGCCCTATGAAGGGTTAAAGGCTTATTTTTTTAATTGTAAAATAGTTTTAAATTATGTAACAGAATTCAACATTTCAATAATAATAAAAAATACTAAAGTGTGTCGCTCATCATGGCCCCCAGCTATTACACCAGGGCCCCCCTGTCTTAAGAGATAAGAATAACCAGAATAGATCAGAATAAAACATCTTTTATTTTAAGGTCACTGACAAAAAAGACGTTATATTCTGAAGGCAGCTGTGATCCACATGTGGCGGTGGGTGTCTGATGCGTCTTAACAGTACTGAGAACCCAGGTACTTGTTATCAGGGTTGTAATTGTACCGAGCGAAGCATTCAGTAGCCGCACGGTCGCACTCGCAAGCCGCAGCCTCGCACGAGTCGTTGGTTGCTGCAGACAGACAAAATTAGGAAAAAAAATATTAATATTAGGAGTTTAAAACAAGAGCAGCTCAAAGCAGAGTAGAAAGGAAAATGGTTTACAAATAAATTCTGAAAATAAGATCTTTGGCAAAATAACTCAGAGCTCAGATCAGACAGCGATCCTCCATTAACAACCGTTTTAAACTCTACCATTGAATCTCAATGTGATTTAGGTTTAACTTTAACTAGGACGCTAAACATTTTGGTTCATCCCATAATATCTGTTTGGGTCGTCTTAGATCACCTAGGAGCTCCAGCCAACACGCCATCAGCTCTTATCCACTTAAAATTCATCTGTACCCACAGCATGATGCTGCCACCACCGTGTTCCATTTTCCTTATATGGCTTCCTTATATGGATTCATGGACTCATAGTTGTTCTACCAACAGATTCTCTCTCCATCAGAGTTACTGTAGGCCTAATGGCTTCCTCTCTGACTACCGCCCTTATCTGGTCGGTTATTTTAGACTGCTAACTATGTGTTGGTGGGATTTCAGCTGAGCTGCACCTTCCGTCTCCTGATAATGGATGGAAGAGCATTTATGTTTTCCATTCCAGGCCTTCATGCTGATTCTTTTTCATCTTCTGAGGCTAGAACAGAATTTCATACTTTATTTCAATTCATACTAAGATTCAATGATAAAACCTTTAGATTTTCTGTGAGGTATTGGAGCAAAAGGAGATTAATATTTTTACTAGTAAAGCTTGTCATGTGTTTATTTGCAGAAGATCTGTAAAATACCAGGCATTTGTATTCCAAATACAGGGATTATTAAAAGAGAATCTAAATAAGCTAAAAATAAAACAATTTTTTTACAGCAACGCTGCAGTGAACGTCTACAACTTATATAAAGATAGAGCCAAAGATCTCTTGTTTAGTTGGACAAAAAAAAAGAAGCAAATATTATCCATTTACATCATCTACTGCAGGGGTATGGGTCATGACCCCACAAGAGTTTCTTACAATCACAAAGATGTGATCAATAGATATGGAGATCAATATTTAAAATAAAGTACATATATGTAAATGAATCATGAAATAGGAAGATGTCACACACTGCAAAAACAATCTAGAAATAAGTTAAAATTCCTTAAATCAAGTGTATTTTACCTTAATTTTAGTAGGTAAATGGGATGATTTGCTAATGGAATAAGTATTTTTACTCTTAAAATAAGATAATTAGATAATATGCACTTGTAATAAGACAATGCAGTTGCTTTTTTATTATTTTAAATGTAAATTCTCTTGTTCCATTGACAAAGTGTCTCACTTACCTCCTCAATTCAAGAACAAATGCACTTAATTTAGGAAAAAATTATTATTTAGATTTCAATTTTTTGCAGTGCATGTATTTGTTTTTCTATTATTATTTCTATTATTACAATAAATAGTAAAATACAAGATTAAATAATGAAATTTCCCATTAAAAATACATTTAAAATGATTTATTAAACTCTGGAATGTGATTTTAATGATAGATTATTTTACACATTAGTATAACAACTTATTTTTCTATGTATAAATAGATCTGAAGTGAGTCTCCAGCTTGTTGCTAATTTATTTTTGGGGTCACAAGCTGAAATCTGCTGGATTGTTGCTGCAGTTTTATGTTCTTTGAGCTACAAGATTAACAACAAGACAGTGAAACCTAAATAACAGCTTCCTGTCGGTCTTACCTGAGCAGTACGCATGTTTGTTTGAGCAGGTGAAATCATAGCTGATAATGTGGGGAAGGTCGAAAATACCGTCACATCCAGGAATCTTTCTGCTGTTTTCGTAACATTTATCATGAACTTGGCAGCACCTTAAAAAAAAAAACATTAAAACAGAGAAATTATTTATTCACTCCTGTTAAAATAAAAGAGAAACACAAGAGGATCACCTCCTACCTGTCCACATCGTCCACCGGAGTGCCACCTCCCCCTAAGCCACAATAGCAGCCGTATTCGTTGTAATCCAGAGGATTAATACCCGGCTGGGTGCAAATGATCATCTCTCCAAAGTGCCAGACAGCTTTGGGGACTGTGCCCGCACTGACCAGACATGCTGGGAAGCATGAGAGAAATAAAACCTCACAGAACAACCTGGATGGGTTCTTATTTCCCCAAGAGGAAGTTTTGCAGGCTTACCGGTGAGAAGCAGCAGAGGAAGCGTCGCCTTCATGGTTACAGAGGAAAGGATGTGGAGTTGGTGGCAGTTTGCACCAAAGAGAGAAGTCAGATAAACAAGCCAGGTGGGGAGGAGGGGTGTGGAGGGGGGCGTGCTCTGTTCAGGATGGTTCTTGCTTGGACCAGTCAGGTCCGATGGGTTCCTTTTGCATGGTTTATCTGTGTTTGTCCCTGAGGAGATGAAATCCATCCACACAAAGCCTCTGAACAAAACCTTCAGTAAGATCCACCGTGGTGCCATAAGTATTCAATCCCTCTACAGCATCGAGGTGTTCAACCCCATCCTTCTTGACCAGGTGGCTAAAGAGTAAAGAGAGCTGAGTGAACTCCAGGGTGGATCCACTTAAATGGCTTCAGGGGTCATAACAAAGGTGATGGACATCAACTGAGCCACTAACTTTTAGGTCAAGTAAAAGTGCATAAACCTTTAGGAAATAGAAAAGTTTCGAAAGACGATAACCAATTAACAATGATCAAAACTGAACCACAACCCTGAAAATTACATTTACTCCCACAGAAGAATAGTGTATTGAGGTTTCTTTGGAGTTAAATCTGCTCCATGTTTGTCCGGTCCTGTTGGGTATACCTCTGGGTTATATGTTCGGCCCCTGCTTTTTGCTGTCAACATTACGCTCCATTTGGCTCTTCCTGTCAATGTTTTCACAGCAAGGTTTCTTGAAGTGTTACGTTTCAGTGAAATGGTGGATGGCAGACAGATTTTTGTAATTAGGGAATGAAAAAACTGAAATCCAAATATTTGCACTACTGACATTTATTTGTACGGTGTAGAAGACCCCCAGGTCTCATCTAGGGGTGTAAATCACATCCATCATGGCGATTTGATTCAGTATGAATTTCCTGACCCAACGATTAAATTATTTTCTATACTCAAGAATACACCACGATATGATTCGTTTCGATTAATTAAGTAAACTTTTTTTTTTTTTACCTTACAGGCTAGACGGTGTTTCAAATTTGAAATCAATGGCAGCTGTAATATCATCATGCATTTCATTTGAGAAACAACAGCAAATAACAGAAATAGCAAAGTTGTACTCCACCTAGGCCTATGAAAACTTCCTTCACCTAAAAATAATTATGCCTCTGTGTTATAGATTCTGAAAGGCCATGCATAAAATAATACTGCGAGTGGAACGAGGGTAGTGGCTGAAGGAAGCGAGGTAGGAGGGCAAAATAGGTTTAGCGCCACCGCAGCGCAGGATTACGTCCAGAAGCAAATGGATAAAAATAGACCAGATGAAAAAAAACATGAATCGTTACTGTTGCGGACTTAACGATGAATCGGATTGTTGGCTGTTGGATCGATGCATCGATACAAAACGATTATTATTTACACCCCTAGTCTCATCAAAAGATACATGTCATGTTTTCAAAATGTGTTTATATCATAAAGTATCTGGTTTATTTCTGCTTTATGTAAATCCTTTATTGTCCCACAAAGGGTAAACTCAATCTCTGCATGTAACCCATCCAATTGGGAAGCAGCGGACTGCCACTGTTGGCGCCCGGGGAGCAGTCTGCGGTTAAGGGTCTTGCTCAGGAACCCAGAGCGGTTGTGCATGGAAGTTTTTGGTACTTGAACTAAGAACCTCTGGGACCCAATGCTCTAACCACTAGGCGACCACTTCCTTCTTTATCACCTGTGAAATATCACCAAACTGAACTCTATTGTGCAAAGTCTGGAACTAATCACATCTAGTTTATTGTGATGCACTTTATTCGTCTCAACGTAATCTGAACTCAGATTCCTAAACCTAACAAACTTTAACTTACTTTAACATCGACTGCAAATGAAACTGCCCTGATCAGAGTGCATTCTAGGACTGTGGCGTCTGCAGGGTTACACGAGCGGACCGCAGCACTTCCCTCAGGATGTGTGATGGTGCCTCCATCCATACATAGCCTTAATCCAAGCTTTCTAATAGGGATCTACTTTATTTCAAGTTAGACCCAATATCTGCTCTGTCAGGAAGGTCCATCTTCATGGCACAAGACTCCACCACTAAAGAAAATATGATGTATTCTGATCAAGCATCTCAATAAACAGGTGTTTAAAGGAGGAAGGACACTAGATTCCACCCAGAAGGCACCAGGAGGGCAGGTTTGAAAAGTTTGTTTAACTGCCAATCATCCTTCCAAACTCTCTAGAGGTGAAGGAAGGAATAGTCCAGAAATATCTTGATTAAAATCTGCTTCCATCTACCATCACGCTAAGGACGAAACAGCCGTGGATTTGGCCCCAAATCACTACCGAAAAATGACTGTGTAAATTCTCAGTCATGCGGTTCATGGCAACCACAAATCAGTCTTAAATTGGAGGCAACAGGACTTTCAAAACAATCAACAATAAAAGAACATTGAAGGATGACTGTTTGATGCAGGATGGACCTCTATGCGGCCCTGGCTACAGATTGCTCTACTTTCAGCTGACAGAACTTACAGACTCCTGGATAGGAGCAGAAACGTCCATAAAAAACTGAGCAGAGGTCTGTTTGCCTCCCAATTGAAGCCTGTTTTTTTTTTTGGTTCACAACTGAGCAAATAATGATTCTCCACATCAGAGACATCTTAAAGCCTTTGGTACCAATGATTCCTTCTCCGCTGAGTATTTAATACATCTAAGGAAGTATTGGTCTAGTGGTTAGAGCATTGCACTAAGAAGGTTGCAAGTACCCGGTTCGGTTCCCACCGCCTACACTCTGGGTTCCTGAGCAAGACCGTTAACCCCACCCTGCTCCCTGGGCGCCACACAGTAGCAGCCCACTGCTCCCCAAAGTGATGGTTCAAAATGTGGAGAGTGAATTTCCCCATTGTGGGACATTAAAGCGATTTACTTTATTATATATATTCATACATTCTGTTGCATTTTTGTCTTCTTTTTCCTATGCATAATGTTTTGTTTTTTATATCCTGGGATGAGTGGGTTACTGATCTCCATCTGATCTCCATCTGGTGCAAACGTCATGCCCTCATCAGAGGTATATTTACAGGAAGAAAGAGTGTTCAGCAGCTGATGTCCTTCCTGTTTATCTGCATCCATGCACTCCTCCATGGACTGTTCTAACTATCATCCTTCTAACATCCATGACATCCTTATATCTACGATCTATATTGTCCTGTCCTCTTTATTGTGATAAATTGGTTATTATAGCTTTATGGCAGATAAATATGGATCTCCTCTTCAGACCTTACATGTTAATTTGTCTTTATGTCGTCCTGCAGCATCATGGTGAGGGATTCCACTGTCTTCCCCTAAAATCGTAAAAATTACATCTTTTCATTTTGGTTCCTCTTCAGTCTCCCAGCTCTGTGTTTTTCAGATCTGTAAATGAAATAATCTTTCAGCGTTCAGCACAGCTGTGCAAGCACCTGACATCTGGAGACTTCCCACAGCTTCTCTCTGCACCTGAACCACACCAGAGGATTTATTAAAACACATGAAAACTGCGTCTGATGGAACATTTTATGATTCTTAATGAGGGATCCAAGTGAGTAATGTATTTATGTCACATAACCACACACCTCAATGTTTTTTAGGACTCTATGTGAGTCTCTGACAACAAGTAGGACAGATTTGTTAAATGGAAAAAACTCCTACTTGTTTACATTTTTGTTATAAATCTTAAAAGTTGTGGCACGTGTTTCTATTCAGTTATTTAGTTAATGTTTTCCCTTAAAATGCGGATTTAAGTCTTCCAGATCAGTGGTTTTTAAAGTGGGGATCCCCTGGGTCTTATGAGACACTAAGTCGGGGGCTGACAGATGATTTTCATGATAATTGTGATCCCTGACTGGAAGACCAAAATATACCTTGACGTATATAAATGAGTAAACTCTATTCATTTATTTTTCTAATTCATGATTTAAATATTTATTATACCATAAAAATACAAAATGCACAATTAAATTATTAAATTACTAAGTAAATTATAAAAAAAGCAATGAAAATGATTATGTATCATTTACATGTTATAAAATTGGCAATAATTACTTCACTTTATATGTATAAATAAGTATAGAGTAACGTTTTTATCTATATTTTAATGAAATTAAATTCAGTTTATTTCTATAGCGCCAATTCACAACACATGTCATCTCAAGGTACTTTACAGTTCACCAGATCATCCCGTCAGATTGATTCAAAGTTTTCTATCTAAGGAAATCCAGTAGATTGCATCGACTCATTGACTCTACAGCAATCCCTCACACTAAGCATGCTTGTAGCGACAGTAGAGAGGAAAAAACTCCCTTTTAACAGGAAGAAACCTCCAACAGAACCAGGCTCAGAGTGAGCGGCCATCTGCTGAGGCCCACTGGGGTTCAAGGAGACAGAAGCAGAGATACAAAGGTCAACTGTCAACCAGCTCCACAGGCGGCCCCGCCTAGGAAACACACAGCCAGGCAGAAGAGCTCCGAGCCAGCTCCTATGTCACGGTATGAAGAGAGCACATCCAGCCAGTCACAGTCAGAGAAACAGGACTACACTGAAAAACAGGCCAATCTCCAACATCTATAAACAAAGGTGTTGATGGAAGCAGCACATCTGATGTTTCTCTCCAGGATGGAGTCACAGCCAAACGGGAACAGACCAGATGAAGCGAAGAACCAGTGAGGGCATAATGTAAGAGATTGAATTAACAGATTGTGCAGAGTGGGATAATAGAGAAAGAATGAAGCAGAATGATGAAATGGGGGTCCTTATGTCCTCCAGCAGTCTAAGTTTATAGCAGCATAACTATAGAGATAGTTCAGGATAACCTGAGCCACCCTAACTATAAGCTTTATCAAAAAGGAATGTTTTAAGCCTAGCCTTAAAAGTAGACAGGGTGTCTGCCTCACGGACTAAAACTGGTAGTTGGTTCCACAGGAGAGGAGCCTGATAACTAAAAGATCTGCCTCCCATTCTACTTTTAGAAATTCTAGGAACCACTAGTAAAGCTGCAGATTGAGAGCGAAGTGCTCTGTTAGGAACATAAGGAACAATCAGATCTCTGATATCAGATGGAGCTTGGCCATTTAAGGCTTTATATGTGAGAAGGAGGATTTTAAATTCTATTCTGGATTTAACAGGAAGCCAATGAAGAGAAGCCAGGATAGGAGAGATATGATCTCTCTTTGTAGTTTTCATCAGAACTCTGGCTGCAGCATTTTGGATCAGCTGAAGGCTTTTAACTACAGTTTGTGGACTTCCTGATAGTAAAGAATTACAATAGTCCAGCTTTGAAGTAACAAATGCATGGACTAGTTTCTCAGCATCACCCCTGGACAGGAGATTTATCATTTCTGCAAAACTTCAGAGATGAGAAAAGTGAACTGAGATCCACCTTAGCTGAGGGGGAACTGGAGCCTATCCCAGTAGTCCACGGAGACACAACAAGGTTGAACAACCATGCACACTCAAACTCGCTCCTTAGGGGCAATTTCAATTGTCCAATCAACATAGCATTCCGGTTTTGAAATGTGGGAGAAAGCTGGAGAACCCGGAGAAAACCCACGCAGGGAGAACATGCAAACTCCACACAGAAAGGTCCAGGTTGCCCCGGAACTCGAACCCAGAACCCTCTTGCTGCGAGGCAATGCTGCTAACCACTTCTGTTGCTCAGACAGAATTCCACCTTCGATGGAAGATCCTCATATCTACACCTTCACACCCTGCCCCCTCCTCTTCTATTAACTCTTTTATTTAAAATCCAACTTACATTCATTTATTGTTTAATTTTCATCTACTTAACTGCCTCTTTTCTCTTATGAATTATTATTCAAGTTCAATCATTGCAGCTTTTATCTTATATGTTTATTGAAAGAAGAAAATGAGCATCTTTCTAGAGATTCAGAAACAAATAGTCCCTGAAATAATCTTTTAAACAGCTCCCATCTAGCTTTTGTCAAGCATTTTAAACTCTTGAATGTAACATGTATTGTAAAAAAGACAAACAAACTCTGATCCAGATAAAATATTAACTTAAACGTACAAAAATGTAAGAAGTTATTAGAAATGAAGCTAATGTGTATCTGCAACCATTATTTCCAGTAGATGAGTTTAGTGTTGCTCTCCTGCCCATCAGCAGCAGCAGCCACTGTGCAAACAGCTTCAGGTTCCCTCAAATCTTTATCTCTATTTTTCTATTGCTATTTTTAAAAATTGTATCAATAAAAATGTGACTGAACACAGCTGGGTAAATAAGTGACATTTACTAGAGTTCCCAAAAAATTCAGATTGACGTCTACCAAGTTAGATAAGTTACTATTAGCCAGCAGGGGTCCAGATCTCATCCAAGTCCCGTACAGAGCGTACGTCCTCTGATGTGAAGGACGAGGATGAGGCACAGAGAGGAAGCATGTTTGTTGGTTCCTGTCTCTGAAGTTCAGCCAGTTTGAAACCAGTGAAAAAAAAAGGAAATGTTTTGTTTTCTCTCAACTGCAAGACAATCAGGGCAAAACAAAAGGAAAGTTGCTTGAACTTTTAAGAGGAAAAATAAACACAAACGTTTGCTGTGAACACAAAGCCGCTGCATTTGAATCTTAAAGAGGTGGATCAGGTATGATAGATCTGATTCTTCTTGATTCTGGACCTCTTTTGGTCTGTAGGATCTTTGCTTTAAGTCAAGAAGAGACAGACGGGTGAGGAGGATCATACAAAACATTTATTTATGACACATTACAGCAGCAGTACACTTTTACTCAATCTGTTGGATTCAGAAAATGTAGGTTTGCAAATAAATAGAAATTGAGTCTACACAGGAAAGAGATTCAAGCAGCTTCTGCAGGAGCGGAAGGAAAAGCCCAACCCAACTTTAAGCTTTCCTTCTCTGAATCCTCTCCCGCAGCCGTCTTTTATTAACAGAACATAACACATGGTTACAAAACAGTATTTGTTCTGACAGAACAATTAATCAGTTCATAAAGACAAGATGCTCCATCAGAATGACAAGGCAGGATGGTCTCCTGACTGAATCATGAGACAGCAGTGGAGCATCCTCTTGCAAAAATGTTTCATAAGCACAAATTAATTTTATAATCATCATTGAATAAACCTGACACAATCTCATGGGGTCAAAACACTAGACACCATCCTGGACCCTAACCCAATGGGAAATTCCATTGGGACCAAGTAGCACTAAATTGGTGACTTAGAAACGACACTGTCAAGGAACGCTATGGACAGCGGAAACATGCAAGAGGAGGAGAGTTTAGTGTCAGAGGTCGTGGATGAGTCTCCTCCATCATCCATTTTTTATTTAGAGGATGAAAGCGGGGACGAAGATGTTATGGAAGAGGACGCCAGGGCGGCAGAAGCTTGGTTTGGTGTAGAAGGCTTCCAGCCGTACATGTTTGAGCCCTTGCCTCGCAACGCTGCCAGTTCTGTTAGCTCTACGCCTGCCGAAGACACAGACGTCCATCCCTGTGAACGCAGGTGGGAAAGGAAAGGATTCTGATTTCTGATTTCAACCGTTGCGTATATTAGCTGCGACATATGAATCAAGATGCTATGACCAAAAACATTTGATTGACAGATGACCGTTGATGTATGACTGGCCGAATTTAGGGTGTTCAGGCTGACGTAGAACTACTGTAACTGGCCTGCAGAAGATAAAAAAAAAATAAACATTTTAATACAGGATTTTTTTTTCTTATAGAAATTTTCTAACTTTTGTGACAATATAGTCTGATAAAGAGTACATTTATATACATGTTTAAATCCAGAATCATATGACGTTTAAACATAACTTCCCTACAACTTTAATGGCACTTTGAGACAGGCTACTTATGTGAGCTGCATTATAAATGCTTTTCAGTGCCATCATGATTTATTTAACATAATTGTAATTATTTCTTCTTCTCCATGGCTTTGAACCTCATCTTTCTTACACATCCACTCTTAAACTGCCTGTACCACAGGAAGTCTGCTCATTTTAATAAGGCAGAACCGAACCACCTTGCAAGTCTTAACATTTGTGCACCCCAACTTATTGCACATACCAAAAAGTTATTGCACCTGCAGGTTAGTGCCTCTTATTGCTGATCTTCAAAGGCCCCTAATGTTCTACATAAAGGTTTAAACTGAAAGTTTAACCCCACCCCCTCATGTTTCCTGTTTCAATTCAAGCACTAATTTTATTGGTTAATCATCTTAATCATAATAAAGTTCAGTAGATGGATAAAGTTACACTAAATTGTATAAAGATCTAATCTGGGCTCACCAGTTCCTCCACATTGTTAATCACTAGTAGGTGCCCTCCAGATGATCTACACTGGTCTTCAGCTTTTCGCCAAGCAGCGGTGTTGGTGGTGGTGAACAGATAGCAGCTCTCCTGGAAACTGTCCCATCCTGCCCTGCATCTTCCTGATTTCAGAACCGCCGGAAAAGTCAAATGAAATAAAATATATAGCATTTCTATTTGTTTTGAAATAGCAGTTTGTACCTTGAACAGGAACTAGTCTCTCCAACGGGACTTCATCTGCAGGAGTTAGACCTTCAGTTAGAGATCCCACATAAATGCAGAAGTTGTTTTTTTAAGAATAGAAAATATAGCTGCATTATTATACTGAGAATCAAAAATCCCTTTTCCTTTTATTGAGCTGAATTACCAGGCGAAGTTGGTCCTCTTTTGATAGTCTTGAGTTGTAGTTTTTTTTGTTCAGCTGGGAGACTGTGGAATGACAACATTCTGTGAACTACATCAAACAAGTCATCATCCGCTTAATTATAATGTGTTTTAATCCCTACATTTTACCCCTATGACCGTCATCAGAATCAGAATTATCAGGATGGCATAAAAGAAGAGCATTAATCTTCCCTTCAGTCCTGGAAATACAGACAAAAGCTCAGATTTTTCTCCATATAAAACAAATGACTAAAAAGCAGGTGACATTTAGGTTTTACCTCTCGGTCGGCTGATACGGGCTCTGCAGGATCCAAGCTGCTAACATCTGGGCTAAAAGGCTGATATTGAGATTCCATTATCTAAGAAGGACAGGGTTTTGTCTCTAATGCAATCTGAATTCAGCACAGAGACAAATGCCCACCTGCAAAATCAGATAAGAGTTTAGCTAAATATTTTTTTGTTCGTTATAAGGACAAAAATGTTAGCTATTAACAGGTAAGTAAATACTGCTCTGGAGTTTTAACCCTCTTGTTACCCTGATGTCAACATACAGAAGCTGCAGGATGGGTTCACAGAGGACCCTGTTAACTACGCTTAAAATAAACATCCAGGTGATTTAGCTTCTACACTGCAAAAACTATCTAGAAATAAGTAAAAAAAAATTTTAATTAAGTATTTTTACCCTTAATTTGACTAGGTCAATGACATGAGTATCCAATGGAATGAGTATTTTTCCTCTAAAAATAAGATAATTAGATAATATGCACTTGAAATAAGACAATATCATTGTTTTTTTTTGTTTTTTTTTTTATCTAAATCGTCTTGTTCCATTGGCAAAGTGTCTAACTTACCTTCTTGATTAAAAAAAAATCCCTTATTTTAGGAGTGTAGGGCGGCCATTTCTAAGTTTAACTGCTTTCCTGCCAAGTCTACAACAAAAAACAGTGCTTGTGGTGACATTAATAATGAAGACCCTTAACCCCCAATTGCTCCCTGGGCGCCCATTGATGGCAGCCCACCGCTCCCCAAGGGGATGGGTTAATTACATAGGTACATTTCTCCAATGTGAACAATAAAGTTCAATTAATTTTACTATTTTTATTTTCTTCTTTCTTTCTTTTGTGAGTCTTTTTATATATACATATATATATATATATATATATATATATATATATATATATATATATATATATATATATATATATATATATAAATTCTTGTATACAATAATCTCAAAGTCTCAATTAAACTAAATCTAATTTCATAACTAATGAAAACTAAGCTAAAACTAAGCTCTAATAGAATATTAGGAACTAATAGTCCATCCTAATAAAATAAACTTATTGAATAAAAAAATAAAAATACTGAGATCTAAATAAACGTTAAAAGTTATGAAAACTCTCTAGCGACCCGAGAAATATTTTCAGTGAACTCTAAAACCAACCTTGAATGTACGGCAGAGTATTAGGGCCGGGCTTGAAATCTTTCTATTTATTTTTTAGTTCTTATATTATGAGAATAAAGTTGCAACAAATATAAAGTTGTTACATTTGGAGAATTAATCATCAATAACAAATAAATTAATTATTCTCGTAATGTTACTTACTTAATTTTATGACTTTATTCTCATAATATTATGACTTTTTTTCTCGAAATGAAAACAAATCTAGCCTGGCCCTAATACATGGAGGATAATTATTGAGAATTTATTTATTTATGTGTTTATGTTTAAATATGGCAGAGTTGGTCCTCCATACAAATAATCCGTCGTATGAGATAAATAATTTGTTTTCTACAGGGAGTGAGCCTCCGTGACCGCATGGTGGCGCAGTAGAGCCCCGAGCTGTCGAGCTCCCACGTGACTCCTGCTGTGAAATAGACTACTTCCGGTCTCCTCTCCAGTCTTTCAGGAAAATGGCGGCCTTCGGACGTTTCTCTCAGATGTTGTGGAGGTCTTCTCTGACCCAAACCCGGCGCCAGCTCTCTGCCGCCGCCGCTGCCGGTGGACACGGCGAACAGTCAGGTAAACGTTCGCCTTCCTTTAGCCTTAGCTGGGGAAAGAATCCAGGAGAACAGCGGTTATTATCTGGACCTTGACCTTGCTGGGTTAGCATTAGCTTCGTTAGCTGTGTTACATCCTTTAGCTTCCCTGGTCAAACTTATTAAAATATCAAGGTTTGTTAGTCCAAACTAAAAGATTACAATTTAAAGTTTACATGTTATTGTTTGTTTTCAGTCCAGTGACTGAAATTTAGCTTAAATAAACGCCCAGTCTAATCATTTATATGAATATAGTTGAAGTATTGATGTATTCAATATTACTGTCACTATGCAAAGAAAAGAAACGATAATACGTGTGAAGAGAAGAGAATAGCTATATTTTATGTGGTATAGAAAATTTAATTACAGAGATATTTATGTATATATATCTTTGAAATAAATCTCATCTGAACTGCAGCCTGTGAGCTTATAATATTAAAGCTGCTAACACTTTAAACACAATAATGAAAAACAGCTAATGCTAAGGAAACGTTTAAATACGCACATCTTTTAATATTTTAACCGTTTTGAAGAGGGAAGAATAATCTGCAGCAGGTCTGTTTCCACTGGATGGTTGTTTTAGTGTCCTTGAAAGTCAGTGAGTAGTAATGGCCCAGTCATCATCAGATCAGCTGGATTACATGGTGCAGGTGTAGAAAACCTATAGATCTATGATCAGTTTATTCTCCTGCAGACATATTGACAGTTATTCTGCAAAACTGCCTCCCACTCCTCAGCTTCTTAAATAAAAGCACCAAAAACCTGAACTTTGATCAGCCATTGCAGCCCAGATTAGATAGGATAGGATCTAAGGTTTCCAGACCAGTCTGTCTGGATGATCTGATTGAATTGTCTCTATAAATGTCCTTCATATAACTGGCACTGTGAGTTGGTGCTGTATGAATGAAACTAAATTGAATTATTAATTCTAGGGCTGAAACAATTAGTCGGATTAATCGATTATTGAAATCATCAACTAATTAAGTGATCAATTAAGCATTGAATGGGTTATAGAGACTCTAAAACAGGCTTTAGCTGACAGAGCGACCCACTTTGAGCAGTAATTATATCAAAATTGTAAAAGAAATATATATAAACAATTTGCAGTTAAGATAAAAAAAAAAAAAACGTTTTTGTGTTTAATATGCTCTATTCAAAACTCCTCAAGTTGAAATGTTTTAGTTTCACCTGATTCAATTTCTTAGAAAATCTTCTCTAAGGCACGTTTGGCTATCTGATTATTAATCAACAGATGAATCGATTTGCAAAATAATCGTAAGTTGCAGCTCTAATACATGAAGCATTCTATTTCTTCAAAGTCAAACTTGAAATGTGTTTAAATATGTGCACCTTTAATTATTCTTCTGGTTATTGTAATTAAAATTCAAAAGCTTCATTTTTTACATGTAGGGATACAACTAACTATTAACTGATGTGTCCATTAATCTGGGACTTTCTTTTTAATTAATGATCAAGTTAAAAGTGTTTAATAGGTTTGTATTTTTTATTTTACAGCCAGGTGAACCTAAACTGCACCACTTCTGCTCATAGCTTATTTATAGACAGAGGGGGTTCTCTATTTAAATGTAAACCTGTATTTTTTAGGCTTCATTCCCGTTCTGAGCAGCTTAGTCTCTCAGTAGCTGCCGTCTTTTTAATGGTTAATAAATTAGCTAACAATATTTTCAGTGATTTGTTTAATCAAATTGTTAAAGCCCTGTCTACATGCGAATATGGTTGAATATTCCTTAACCCTGATTGAACACATTCTGCTTGATATGTCTATTAGTTTTAGCTGTTCCTGGTCTGCCAATAGAGGGAGCTCTAGCAGAATTTCTAGCTTTTCATAATTGGCTCTAAATTACAGCTGATTAATGTGGCGAAAACATTTCTTAGATTTTAATTTAATTTTTTTAACCAAATCCCTTTTTTCAGTTTTAATATTCATAATAAAACATGAAATAAATATTACTTTTAAGAACTAACTTTTATTTCAGTCCTTCCCTCAGGGATTTGAATTTAAAGAACAAAATGTTCACTTCCTGTTTGGATTAACTGAGTGTGCAGCTGTTCAGAGGATCTCCATCTGAAGTTAAGTTATTTTCTCTGTGATATCTCTGTATCTAAGTAACTCTAACTGACTACTTTAAAACATAGCACCTTCTGCTGCACTTTTCTACTGAGCACTTGTCAGTTTCACACTGTTTTATTTCTGATAGCAAGGAGTAGCTAGCCTAGGCTAGCGCTAGCTTAGCATTGCTATGGCTTCTCTCTCTCCCTCCCTTGACTCTTTTCCAACTCTTCCTTCTTCCTCTCCTCTCTCCTGCTCTCTGTGTCAGATGTTCAGTTATTCCTCTGCCTCCTTTAGTGATAATGGGATGTGTAATAAGTGTAGTATTTTTGTAGCTTTGGAGGCGAGGGTGTCAGAGTTAGAATCCAGGCTTCAGGCTGTTGAAGTAGGCCCCCCACGTAGCTGTCCTCCAAAAGTGCCTGAGCAGCCAGGCGATTGGGTAACTGTACGCAGAAAGCGTAGTCGTGGATCTCTGCCCACTGGTCACCACCAACCCGTTCACGTTTCTAACCGGTTTTCCCCACTCAGTGACACACCCACTGAGAAGCCCACTCTGGTGATTGGCAGCTCCATAGTCAGAAACGTGGCATTAGAGACACCAGGGACCATAGTCAAATGTTTGCCGGGGGCCAGAACGGGCGACATCAAATCCTACCTGAAACTACTGGCTAAGGATAAGGTTAAATACAGTAAGATTGTTATTCACGCTGGTGGTAATGACACCCGGTTACGCCGATCGGAGGTCACTAAAATTAGTGTGGCTTCGGTGTGTAAGTTTGCCAAAAAAATGTCGGACTCCGTAATTTTCTCTGGTCCCCGCCCTGATCTGACCAGTGATGACATGTTTAGCCGCATGTCGTCATTCAACCGCTGGTTGTCTAGGTGGTGTCCTGAAAACAACGTGGGCTACATTAATAATTGGCAATCCTTTTGGGGAAAGCCTGGTCTGATTCGGAGAGACGGCATCCATCCCACTTTGGATGGTGCAGCTCTTCTTTCTAGGAATCTGGCCACATTTATTAGTCCTCCAAAACCCTGACCACCCAGGGTGCAGACCAGGAAGCAGAGTTGTAGTTTAACACACATCTCTGCAGCTTCTCTACTGTTACCCACTCTTTACTCCATCCAGACAGTGTCTTGCCCACGACCAAAATCTAATAAATTAGCAAAGATTCCCAAAGGAGTAAATCATGATAATCTAATTAAAATCAAAATAACTCCAATTGGGGAAAAAGTTAAAACAATTAAATGCGGTCTGTTTAACATAAGATCGCTTTCCTCTAAAAGTCTGCTAGTTAATGACTTGATTAGTGATAATCACATTGACTTGTTTTGCCTTACAGAAACCTGGCTGCAGCAAGAGGATTATGTGAGCATAAATGAGGCAACTCCTTCAAGCTATTTAAATTTTCACATCCCCAGAAGTTCTGGGCGAGGAGGAGGAGTAGCAACAATCTTCCAGTCTGACTTACTGATTACTCCCAAAACAATTAATACCTACAACTCTTTTGAACATTTAACCCTTAATTTCCCTGATCCAAATTTCAAGGCAAGAAAACCTCTTCTTTTTGTAACTTTGTATCGTCCACCAGGTCCTTACTCTGAATTTTTAGATGAGTTTTCAGAGTTCCTTTCTGATTTGGTATTAAATACTGACAGGGTCATCATAGTGGGAGATTTTAACATCCATGCTGACATTGAAGGCGATAGCTTAAGAGCAGCCTTTAATGCTATCTTAGACACTATTGGCTTTGTTCAAAATGTGAATAGTCCCACGCATTCTCATCTTCATACTTTGGATCTTGTGCTGACATACGGCATAGAATGTGAAGAAATAACAGTATTTCCTCACAACCCTGTCCTCTCTGACCACTTTCCAATAACCTTCAGGATTACTTTAACAGAGTTCTCCTCCCCCAAAAGAAGGTTCAATTTTAGTAGATCTTTATCAGATAGTGCAGTTATAAATTTTAAAGAATCTGCTTCACTTTCTCTCTCCTCTGTGTCACTGAGCAGTGCTGCAGAGTGCAAAAGCTTAGCTTATTCCCCTTCACAGGTTGATGATTTTGTTGATGGGGTTGCTAGTTCTCTGCGTATTGCCTTAGACAACGCAGCTCCTTTGAAAATGAAAACCGTTAAAAATAGAAAGCTTGCTCCTTGGTTTAATGCAGAGCTGCGTACTTTGAAGCAAAATGCTAGGAAACTGGAGAGAAAATATCGCTCCACAGGCCTGCGAGAGTCCTTCCTAGTCTGGAAAAATGGTTTACTGCTGTATAAGAGGACTCTTTGTAAAGCAAGAGCAGCATACTTCTCCTCATTAATAGAGGAGAATAAGAATAATCCTAGATTTCTTTTTAATACAGTTGCCAAACTCACCCAGAGCCATAGCTCTGTTGAACCGTCCATTCCACCTGCTCTTAGCAGCAATGATTTTATGGGATTCTTTATAAATAAGATTGATCTTATTAAAAATAAGATCATAAGCACTCCTCTATCCGCGATTGTACCTGAGGTAGTCATGGAATCTGAACCGGGTTTAGACTGCTTTGATCCAGTTGAACTCTCTGAATTAGCAAAATTATTGTCTTCATCTAAGCCTTCAACTTGTATGTTAGATCCAGTTCCAACCAGGTTATTTAAGGAGGTATTCCCTTTGATCTCCTCCTCCATTTTAGATGTGATTAATCTATCTCTGTTACAGGGATATGTACCTAAAGCTTTTAAGGTTGCTGTAATTAAACCTCTGCTTAAGAAACCGTCTCTTGACCCAGATGACTTGGTCAATTATAGACCTATATCCAATCTTCCTTTCTTATCCAAAATTCTTGAGAAAGTAGTTGCCAAACAAGTTTGCGATCACTTCCACCATAATGAACTTTTTGAAGAGTTTCAGTCTGGCTTTAGAGCTCATCATAGCACTGAAACAGCTCTGGTGAAAGTCACTAATGATATTCTCATGGCCTCAGATAATGGACTTGTATCTGTGCTCGTCCTGTTGGATCTTAGTGCTGCATTTGATACAGTTGACCATAATATTCTTTTAGAAAGACTTGAATATTTTGTTGGAATTAAAGGAACAGCACTAGACTGGTTTAAATCTTATCTATCTGATCGAATTCAGTTTGTTCATGTTAATGATAGATCTTCAACACGCTCAAAGGTTACCTGTGGAGTACCACAGGGATCAGTGCTAGGACCAATTCTCTTTACTTTATACATGCTCCCAATTGGTAGAATTATTAGACAGCATGGGATTAATTTCCACTGTTACGCTGATGATACCCAGCTATATCTGTCTATAAATCCAGATGAAGCTAACCCATTACATAGATTACAGGCATGTCTTGAAGACATAAAAACCTGGATGACTCTTAACTTTCTGCTCCTGAATGCAGACAAAACAGAAGTTATAGTCTTTGGACCAGAGTCTCTGAAAAAGAAACTGATTAGCCAGTCACTTCATTTGGATGGGATTAAACTGATTTCAGATAATAAAGTAAAAAATCTTGGTGTTATTTTTGATCAGGACCTGTCATTTAAATCCCATATCAAAGAGGTTTCTAGAATTTCCTTCTTTCATCTGAGGAACATTACAAAAATTAGAAATATCCTGTCCAGGGGTGATGCTGAGAAACTAGTCCATGCATTTGTTACTTCAAGGCTGGACTATTGTAATTCTTTACTATCAGGAAGTCCACAAACTGTAGTTAAAAGCCTTCAGCTGATCCAAAATGCTGCAGCCAGAGTTCTAATGAAAATTAAAAAGAGAGATCATATCTCGCCTATCCTGGCTTCTCTTCATTGGCTTCCTGTTAAATCAAGAATAGAATTTAAAATCCTCCTTCTCACATATAAAGCCTTAAATGGCCAAGCTCCATCTTATATCAGAGATCTGATTGTTCCTTATGTTCCTAACAGAGCACTTCGCTCTCAATCTGCAGGTTTACTAATCGTTCCTAGAATTTCTAAAAGTAGAATGGGAGGCAGATCTTTTAGTTATCAGGCTCCTCTCCTGTGGAACCAACTACCAGTTTTAGTCCGTGAGGCAGACACCCTGTCTACTTTTAAGGCTAGGCTTAAAACTTTCCTTTTTGATAAAGCTTATAGTTAGGGTGGCTCAGGTTATCCTGAGCTATCTCTATAGTTATGCTGCTATAGGCTTAGACTTTTGGAGGACATAGGGACCCCCATTTCATCATTCTGCTTCATTCTCTCTCTGTTCTCCTATTCTGCAGAATCTGTTAGTTCAATCTCTAACCTTCTGCTCTCTCTGCTTTTCCTCAGAGTAGCTTTGCCTCGTCTGTTCCTGTTTGGCTGTGACGTCATCCTGGAAAGAAACATCAGCTGTGCTGCTTCTATCAACACCCTTGTTTATAGATGTTGGAGATCGGCCGGTTTTCCAGTGTGGTCCTGTTTCTCTGACCGTGACTGAGTGGATGTGCTCTCTTCGTCCTCTGGCATGGGAGCTGCCTTGGAGCTCGTCTGCCTGGCTGTGTGTTTCCTGGACGGGGCCGCCTTTTACAGCTGCTTTTTGTATCTCTGCTTCTGTCTCCTTGAACCCCAGTCGGCCTCGGCAGATGGCCGCTCACACTGAGCCTGGTTCTGCTGGAGGTTTCTTCCTGTTAAAAGGGAGTTTTTCCTCTCCACTGTCGCTACAAGCATGCTTAGTGTGGGGGATTGTATTTGAGTCAATGAGTCAATGCAATCAACTGGTTTTCCTTAGATAGAAAACTTTGTATCAATTTGACTGTATGATCTGGTTGAACTGTAAAGTGCCTTGAGATGACATGTGTTGTGAATTTGGCGCTATATAAATAAACTGAATTGAATTGAATTGAATTGAAAATACAGGCACTGAAACGGGCCTGATTTATTCTATGGAAATAAAGCAAACTAAATGTTTTATCTAGTGGTTTCACACTGTGAGCTAGTTTAATAGTTATGAGAGGACATCATAGAAACAAAAATTAAGGAACTGATCTGAGCCATGGAAGCCTATTGAGGACAAAGAATCCCAATTTTCCCAAATTTACAACTTCATGAAGAGAAAAGATCCCGTCTATATGAGCTAATTATTTACATGTTTATTTAAAACTCGTCTTAATATACAAAAAGAAACAAATTTATAACAGAAAAAAATTATTAAACAAGAAATTTATAACAGAATCTGACAATAATAAACAAATATATCTCATAAATCCAGGTCTGATTATTAGAGGCAAGATTGGAGGAAAATATGTTTAAATAAAATGATTACTTTATTATCTGAACTACTTTGTTCTCTGGATGTTTCATTGTTCAGATGAAGGAGCCATCGCTTCTGAATGTTTTAGTTTTTATTAACCCTGTAATGCCAAATGTATCATATTTGATACATACGGTTTCTGAAATGTTTAGCATCTGACACCTTTTGCATAATTTAATGGTAAAAACTTTGCTCCAAATCCTATAGTACACAATCAGATATACCTGATAACAGAGGGCAGAAGACTACACAAAAAATAATCTGGACTTATCGCATAGTAATAAATTATTAGTATCAAAAATGTATTTCTGTTTTTTCTTTTTACATATTTTGTTAAAAGGCCAAATAAGGACTTCAAACCAAAAAAGAGTAATTTTCTGTTTTGTTTTATTCTTGGATCGGGCTTTAAAGGGTTAATATTTTCATGTCAATCAGGGCCGGTCTCCTACCTGCTTTTATAACGACCATTTCCGACCACTATTCGTTATTTACTTATAGCCTCCTATTTTAACAAATATTTACCACTAATTTTAGTTATAAATCATTAGTCGACTGCTTCATAGGGACAGAACTAAAGTAAATGGAAATGGGCTGGAAGGTGTCTTCAGATTAAAGACTGAGGTTGAAGATTTTTTGTGAATAAAATTGAATTATATTTTTTCCATCAGGTAAAATAAACCAACATTCAAATTATGAATTGTTTATTTGTATCAAACCAAAGGAGACTGGGATCAAACGCTCCTGCTTAGCTTGGTTTGTTTACTTTGGTGTTTTCTGTTTTCCTGATCTGTTTTTGGTCCAGTCAGACATTTTCTTGGTTTGTGAAGAATTTCCTGTTTCTCCACAGCGAAAACATGGAAGATCCTGTCGTTTGTTGTGGCCCTGCCGGGTGTGGCCGTGTGCATGCTGAACACCTTCCTGAAGGAGAAGGAGCACAGCCACGAGCAGCCAGAGTTCGTCCCCTACAGCCACCTGCGCATCCGCACCAAGGTCAGCCCTCAGCTTTCGTCCTCGTCTCTAACTTCATGTTTCCTGCTTTCTCTTCTAATCTCATGTTGTTTTCTGAACAGCGTTTCCCCTGGGGAGATGGGAACAAAACCCTTTTCCACAACCCTCATGTCAATGCCCTCCCCGACGGTTATGAGGGGCATGACGAGTAAACCCTGCAGACCTCATCGCAGCTCAACAGCGCCCTCTGCTGTTACTGCATCACACTCCTATTTACAGTTTATTTTTTGGGCTGAATTGTTTACACCTCTGTGCTCCACATGGAGCACCTGAACCAACAATTCCTTCTTTCTGGACCATTAAACCAAATGTCAGCTTGAATTAAATTAACGTGAATAAATGACTTTTACTTCCTGACTGTTTGCTCTGTTTATTTTCTTTTTACTAATTTGATGCAGTGTACAGCTTTCTGTTTTATATGAAGAGTTAATTTCATTGCTCTGTTCTTGTGACTGTGAAATGACAATAACAAGCTGTTAATAAAATAATATAAAGACAGAATAAGAAATAAGATCATGTTTGCATATTGATGTAGGAATTAAGTCCAGAATAAATGAATCAACTCTTATTGATGGGAGAGAAAAACTTGTGAAAATAAGCAAGAAAAGAAAGAAATATAAAAAGTGATGCCTCTAATTAAGGGAGGATAGTTAATCCAGACTAAAAGAGCTTTAAACAGGAAAAAAAAATTCAATTTCTTTCTGATTTGTTGTGGGGGAAGAAAAAAACAAACATTAGGTTTTATCAGACTGAGAAAAAGAAAATATACATATACAGGCAAATTATTCATTTTTTTTGCATTAAGAACAAGGACAGATTAATTTAGGACAAGTTTCCTGTTTTACCGTATTTATTTTACTTTTTTTTTTTTTACCAGAATCTACCTTCATCCATTCAGACTAATAGCAGTAGTTGGTTTTTCATGTCAGAACCAGCTTGTATCTGGATACCAAACCCATTTCAGCATCATTGCTGCTTTCTTTGATAAGTTTAATTTTTTTCCCCTATAAACTTTACTAGAAAATAATAAAATAAATGAATAAAAGTAGCAATAGTGATCAAGTAAAACATACACATAGAGCCATGTGAGGGGATTACATAAATATTTAGATAAAGATTTAACAGCTTTTTTTGTTATTGGAGGACAATGTAGATAAATAAGTTGTTGCTTTCTCTAAAAAGATACATGAGGGTTTAATCATAATTTTACATTTTGCTTCTGTCTCCTTGAATCTTAGTCGGTCTCAGCAGATGCTCACAATGAGCCTGGTTCTGCTGGAGGTTTCTTCCTGTTCAAAGGGAGTTTTTCCTCTCCACTGTCGCTGTAAGCATACGATGCAATCAACTGGTTTTCCTTAGATAGAAAACTTTGAATCAATCTGTCTGAATGATCTGGTTGAACTGTAAAGTGCCTTGAGATGACATGATGTGAATTGGAGCTATAGAAATAAACTGAATTTAATTTAATTTGTGGATATAAAACTTAGTCAACAGCAGCAAAAGATAACATAAGAAGATAAGGTCATGATGTGTTTTTTTTATTTTTATTTTTTATTTTGTGATTCCAAATAAAACATCCTTAAAATAAAGTTCAGATTTATCATAAATATTTTTCCAGAATAAAATGCCTTTCCATATCCGCCTGGTGTTTTCACAGGACCAAAATAAGTGACAGACTCAGACTAAATGTTTAATAACATGTTTATTTCTCTCTCTGCCGAGTGACGCCACGCCACGCGTGACTCGCCCTTTGTCACAGACTCCACCTCTTCCGCGTGAACGAGCCTTAAGCCGAATTAGAAAATCCTGGGTTAACAAAGCTTGTCCAAATACCGCGCGCTAACAGCGTCCGTCCGTTATCGGATCCGTCTCCTAGGCAACCGCCACAAAACGCAACGCATCCCGGATCTCCTCGGCGCTCCGCTTCGGCTCCGTTCCGGTTCGTTTCCCTGCAGAGGATTAACGTTTTGATTACTAAATCTAGCATTGAAACATCTCGGATCAGTGCGCGCACCCGCGCTCCGACGGACAGGGTAGAGTAGTCGATCACCGAGACCCGGATCAAAAATGATGTTGATGATGATGAGCTCAGACAGAGGTGAGTAGGAGTCAGGAGTTGTGGATGTGTGTTAAGGCAGTGATGGAGGTTTTATTATTCTGTGAAGTCATGAGGTTTTAATATGCTGTGATGTCATGAGGGTTTATTATTCTGTGATGTCATGAGGTTTTATTATGCTGTGATGTCATGAGGTTCTATTATTCTGTGATGTCATGAGGGTTTATTATGCTGTGATGTCATGAGGTTTTATTATTCTGTGAAGTCATGAGGTTTTATTATGCTGTGATGTCATGAGGGTCTATTATTCTGTGATGTCATGAGGTTTTATTATGCTGTGATGTCATGAGGTTCTATTATTCTGTGATGTCATGAGGGTTTATTATGCTGTGATGTCATGAGGTTTTATTATTCTGTGAAGTCATGAGGTTTTATTATGCTGTGATGTCATGAGGGTCTATTATTCTGTGATGTCATGAGGGTTTATTATGCTGTGATGTCATGAGGTTTTATTATTCTGTGAAGTCATGAGGTTTTATTATTCTGTGAAGTCATGAGGTTTTATTATGCTGTGATGTCATGAGGTTTTATTATTCTCTGAAGTCAGGAGGTTTTATTATGCTGTGATGTCATGAGGTTTTATTATGCTGTGATGTCAGGAGGTTTTATTATGCTGTGATGTCATGAGGTTTTATTATGCTGTGATGTCAGGAGGTTTTATTATGATGTGATGTCAGATCTCCAGATGATGAAGAAACAGGAGAGGGCTCATTTCTTCAGCGCCAAAGAGCAGGACCTGATTCTGAAGTTATATGAAGAAGAGCGAGAGATCCTGACGGCCAAGTCCAACACAACCAGTGCCTCTAAGCTGAGGGAGGAAGCCTGGCAGAGGATCGCTGATAAAATAAACGCGTAAGAGTCACACATGCACCCCCCCTGATCCCCTGTTTATGGATTCATTATGAAAAAGCAGAACTTATCAGTCTGCCTTCAAACTTTCTGACAAGTTTCAACCTCAGATTTCACAAGTTTTAAGGGGTTTTATGTAAAAGAGCAACAAAAACTAGTTCATGTCGTAAAGTGTAGGCAGCAACATATATCCGGAGTTGAAACTCTAGTTTTGCTGCAGAAGCTGTTAGATTTTGGGGGAAGTTTTCAGACAGTTTTAGCTTGTTTGACTTTGACTAGACCCTTCTAACACACTAACAGGTCAAATCTGACCAGCATACGTATATTTATTAAAGATCCCTGCAACATGATGCTGCCACCGCCGTGTTTCAACATGGGGCTGGTGTGTTCAGGGTGTTGGTTTTCCATTGGATAAAACATTAGATTAAAATTTTTCTCAAATCGATTTCTTCCAGCTGCTAACTGTGTCTCCTAAACGGCTTTTGATGAGTCAAAAAGTCCTTTAACTATCGCTCTCATTAGCACTCTGCCCCTGAACAAAAAAATTAAACTGACTTAAAGAGTGCATAAAAAAAATGCAAATAAACTCTCTGCATTTTAACCCACCCACAAACATGTACGGCTGGAAGCCTTCTACACCAAACCAAGCTTCTGCCGCCCTGGCGTCCTCTTCCACAACATCTTCGTCCCCGCTTTCCTCCTCTAAATAAAAAATGGATGACGGAGGAGACTCATCCAAGACCTCTGACACTAAACTCTCCTCCTCTTGCATGTTTCCTCTGTCCATAGCGTTCCTTGACAGTGTCGTTTCTAAGTCACCAATTTAGTGCTACTTGGTCCCAATGGAATTTCCCATTGGGAACCTACTAGCATTAAGCTGCTAACTGGTTAGCAAGATGCTTCCGACAAACCGGCCACAACCAAACTAACTTGCAAACCTTCCGCCACAACAATCCGGCCCCCTTGATAATCGACCAATCACATTCACTTTATTTACTCGTGTAAAGTCGGGCACCACTCAGGAGAAGCCGCTTCCCTACGAATTTAAAGGTTTTGCTCAGGACCCCAGAGGCTGTGGGGATCAAGCCGGTTACTTGCAACCTGAGCTGTGAATCTCTGTAGCTCCTCCAGAGTTACTGCAGGATTCTCAGCTACTTCTTTTATGATCTCCTTTTCTTTATTATTAATATTGTTTGAATAATACATTTTTCAAAAAGAATGAACCATAGTGGAGCAAAATTAAAATATGAATTTAGCAAGAAAAAGGAAATGGGTCCAGAATAACAGAAATAATTACTTCTGGAATGCCTACGTCAACAATAGGATTCTGCATGAATGGGAGTAGCATGATGAAGTCATGCGGGATGGTGCTCAGAAATCACTTCTCTGCGTTAAATTTCTCAGATTTGAGCCAAAAATCGAAAACCTACGCTAAACAAGTTTGAAAACCGTGGACGATTGAACCTTTACTTAAGGACACGAAGGGGTTCAGAACTGAATTGAATTCTTAATACTAGGGCTTAAAGGAATAGTACACCCAAAACATGATTAGCCTTCATTTTCTACTCACCCCCATGCTGAACAACACTCTGGAGTACTTTTTTGATATCTCAAATGCATCTGGAGATCTGGGAGGCTTCTTGCTGTCTGCTGACATTCAAATAATAGAGGTCTATGGCGCCCGAGACAGAAAGGTCCATAAAAATCCACAAAAACGTGTCAATATTCCTCCATACTGCTCGTCCAATGTATTCCAAGTGTCCTGAGTGGGTAGCATCCAGAATTTACTCGAAACGAAGTCATTTAGAACGTTTTAGAGCCTAAACAGTAGTGTATAGGATTTCCTAATAGCGCCCCCATGCGCGCTCACGATTCTACGGAAGCCGGCAAACCAAACCGGAAGAAAGTGCGCATTCAGCGTCTGCTCTGCCGATAATGCAAGCGTAGAAGAAGAAATGTGCTGTTTACCTGTGCAAAGAAAGAAACAACGAAAGAAAAATGTCTGAGGACTTCAGTGTTGAGGAAGAGCATGAGTTCTTTGCCGAGCAGCTTGCGCACTTGGTTTGGTCTGCCGCGGTTTCCGTAGACTCGTGAACGCGCTTTCAGGAAATCCTATACACTACTGTTTATGCTCTAAAAACATTCTAAATGACTTCGTTTCGAGTAAATTCTGGATGCTACCCACTCAGGACACTTGGAATACATTGGACGAGCAGTATGGAGGAATATTGACACGTTTTTTGTGGACTTTTATGGACCTTTCTGTCTCGGTCACCATAGACCTCCATTATTTGAATGTCAGCAGACAGCAAGAAGCCTCCCAGATCTCCAGATGCATTTGAGATATCAAAAAAGTACTCCAGAGTGTTGTTCAGCATGGGGGTGAGTAGAAAATGAAGGCTAATCGTGTTTTGGGTGTACTATTCCTTTAAGGGGTTCAGAAGCTGAACTGGAAAGTTACCTGCTATCTGGTTGGCAAAGTACAGAGAGGCGACACCAGGCCAGCTCAGATACATAGTCCCTTCAGCATGTCCTGGGCCCTCCATAAGGTTCCTCCCAATGGAACATGCCAGGAACCCCTCCAGATGGAGGCGACCAGGACGCATCCAAAACAGATGTCAAACCAGGAAGGAACAATGACTCTACTGCGAGCTCCTCCCGATCTTGAAGCAGCCGAAATGAGTTTTGGCCGCTTTTATTTACGATCTTGTCCTTTCAGTTTATACCCAGATCTCATTACCATTGGTGAGGGTGGGAACCATGACAATCTGATACAGCCACCGCACTGCTGACGCCACACCTATATACCCCCATCCCGAGATACTTGAATTCCTCCATTTGAGACAAGGGACTTGTGTGAACGAGTTGGAACCTAATTGTTGTTTTCTGACTCAGGGCCTCAGACAGCGGCTACAAAAGAACATGGCAGCAAGTGAAAGTCAAACACAAGAACATCATCCAGACAGGTATTCCCGCACCGCAGCAGTGACCTTTCTGCTCTGCTTTTCAATACTTTTCTCGGTCTCAGACGTCGTGAATTAAACTCATCCCTGTAAAATTTGTCCCCGAACAGCAAAAAGGAAAAGAGCGGAGGTGCTGAGGACTGAGGGGGGGTCCGGGAGCCCCTCTCTGACCTCAGCAGAGGAGGATGCAGCGTGCAGCAAAGAAAGCGCTCTGAGGATGGAGGTCCTGCCTGGAGGCTCCTGCGTCGGCAACTCGGCCGCCTCTGACAGCTCCTTCATGAGCGGTACGTTTCACCGCGCCTCGTTAAACCCTGCGGCTTCAGCTGGAGCTAACTGGGGGTTTTGTTGTTGACAGTGTCCGGCCACCCGGTGCTCCTCCTGCCCGTCACTAAGACGGAACCAGAGAGCCTCAGCGGAGACGAGACGGACGTCAGCGAGGCTCACGTTGATGAGGTAAACACTTGAACACGTGCCTCGTTTTAGCCTTTAAGAAACAGCCTCACAGGAGGTTTTTTTTTCTTCTTTTGATGAAGGACGTGCAGAACAGCAGTTTTCAGGAGGGCGGCGTCTCAGCAGAGCCCACAAGAGGGCCTAGATGTTCTAAGGTGAGACCAGACAGACATAAAACAAGCAGGAGTTTCTGCTGACTTCACTAACATCATGTTTTGTTGTGCAGAAGCAGACGGATGAAATAAGAGCTCTTTACTGTCGCTACCTCAAAAAGGAGATGGAGAACCGGGACCAGGAGATGGCCTACAGAGCGCTGAAAATGAAGAAGCTGGAGAAGGAAATTCTGTTACTTGATAAACAGCTGATGTGACTGTAAAAAAAAACAAAAAAAAACAGTACTAGGATAGATTTATTATATTATTATATCTCAGAAACAAGGACAGTATTGATGGTTAGAAGTTATAACTGCTGTAAATGTCTCACCGCCTGTAGTTATGTTTAAATATGAGCGACCCAAAGTAATGGCTCGCTCTCCCACAGACTGAAGGTTTAAGCAAATTCACATTTATGGAGCTAAACCAGTGACAGCATTGACACCCACAGGGAATTCTGAGGAGTAAAATGAAAATTAAAAAAAATTATACACTGAAAGTTCAAACACTGAAAAGTCTGATATTCCTGCAAAAAAGTTCAATATTGTGATAATTCCCTCATTTTATGCTGCAGCTTTTCTTTTTTCCCCAAAAAAGGAATGGATTCAGTGTCACTGCAAAGTTCCTTCAGTTATTATGGGGTATTGACAAATATGTCACTTGAAGCTGGAGGCATTTTGGCTTTGGGGGCGGGGCTAAACCAAAGACTCCTTCAAGGATCCTCTGTTTTTCCACTGCTCCTCGTCATCTACCTGCTGTGAGCTTGTAGAAGGCTTTGGTTCATATACTGCTGCTCAACCACAAGTAAGATATTATTATTATTATTCATTAGCTATAAAAACCGACAAGTGACTGAGTCATTTCCCCACATTCTGCCGGTGAAGATTCTCAGTCATCCAGGTCATTCCAAAAAATGAAGCTTTTTCAATTGCTGCTAAAACATTTAACAGCAATTGAATTAAATTAAAACTGCTTCCTGGATGGGAAGCGAAATGTCTTCAATCTTGGAAAAAATGGATTGTTTTGAACTTTTTTGGAATTCGCCACCGAATGTGTCTGTCGCTGAATTTCTTTTTAGATTTTATATTATTGCAGCTTTGCAGCAGGTAACTTTCTTCCAGCTGCTAGGGAGACGGAGCAAACATTAAAAACAGCTTTTTCTGTGCTATTTTAAACAAAATGTTTTTTTTTAAATAAATTTTTAGCTCACTTTTAGCAGCTAAATGTTAATTTCTCAAAATATAAGTAACCCCTTAGCTTGAGTTTAAATTAAACTTACTTGATCTGTTGTCATTTTAAGCAGCTAATGGGAACGATAGTATTACAAACAATATCTTCCCAATAGTTGAGCAGAACTTTTTGGACTTAAGCTTTCCATGAGTTCACAGCAGGTTGGTGGTGAAGAGTACCGGAAAAACCGAGGGGCCCTGAAGGAACCTTCAGTTTAGCTCCGCCCCCAAAATCCAAAACAGTCCCAGTTTGTATTAACATCCTAACTGAAGGAACTCTGCAGTGAGACTAAAACCATTTTTTGGAAAACAAAAAGAGAAACTCTAGCATAAAATGAGAGAATTGTCGCGATTTTTTACTTTTTCAGTAGAAACGTTGATTGACTGTTACAGGACTTTTCAATCCCGTTTTCTCAGATGACAAATCTCTTTTTCGGTGTCAATCCAAGCCGTCTCTTCTTGAGCTCCATATCCAGTTTTTCTAAAATAGTCTCAATATCAAAATTTCCCGCAGTTGATTTAATGAAGGAATCACCAGACTGAAAATAAGCAGACTGCAAACAGCTTAGGATTTATTTATTTAGTTATGAGCAGGAAGATCAAACACAGCAGTCATCATATGAAGGAAGCCTCCGAGACCTGAAGCTCCATACAGTCACACTTTAATCCGACTTATTTGTCCTTCAGCATCAAAAACATGCAGAAAAATAAAGGAAGTCATTATTTCTAGATTAATTACTCACACTTCTTGTTTTTGACTGGAATGACTTGCAGCTAAAATATTTGTTATTTAGTTTGTCATAAAATCCTAACATGATATAAAGCCATTATAACAGCTGGCAGGTTTGTCCATGCACTGGATGTTCCAGACTGCTCCAGCAGCCTTTGATCTAATTCAGCGCCGACTGTGGAAACACGACACATAATATTAAAAAAATGACTGTTACCTAAAAAAGACATTTAAACCGCTAGAAACCTAACAGGTCATTTTTCATTTTAGATTCCTGTGGTGCAGAAGTAGCTTACCATGAGGAATGCAGCAGATGTTCCAGATGTTCTGTAAATGTTTGGATTTTAAAGCCGAACAATCACTGTTTCCTCCCACATGTTTTCCTTCCACTAACCTTTCTATTAAGTTCTCTCTGAACAGGCAGCTTCTTTCTTCCTCTAATGGAGGATGAAATCATAGAAAATAACTTTATTTATTGCTTTTTTTAACATTATTCTGAATGATCAAAGAACTGAATATTGGGTTTTAATTAGAGGAATTCGTGATCATTAAAACTAATAGAAATAAATGCTTGTAATTTATTGCTTTTTATGAGATTTTAAATAAACTGCTAAAATAAATTATTAAATGTAGATAAATTTATAGGAATAAATGTGGAGCCTTGTCTGAGGTTTGGTTGTTTTTAACCTACTTAATCAACAGTAGACTAATTATTAACTAGTTTAAAGCTAGGATGGACTTCTAGGACTCACTGCAATACTACACTGCAAAAACGTTCTGAAAATGAGTTAGAATGTTTTAAATAAATGTATTTACCCTTAATTTAAGTAGTAAAATGAGATGATCTGCCAATGGAATTAGCATTTTTACCCTTGAAATATGATAATTAGATATTATGCACTTAAAATAAGAAAATGCAGTTGTTGGTTTTTTCTCATTTTAAATGTAAATTCTCTTTCTCCATTGGAAAAGTGTGCTCAATAAAAAAAGCACTTATTTTAAGAAAAACAGACTCACTTAGGTTTACATTTTTTACAGTGTAAAAATTAATTTAGTAGAAAGAAAGAGATCAAATCTATTTCCAGGAGTGTTTTTCAGAGTTAATAAACTGTAAACCTCTTTCAGTTCTTCGCCGTTGGCCGCTTTACTCTGATGATGTTTGACCGTTTGCAGGCAAATAGGAGCAAACGGCTCATTCTGTGCTGAACGTCGGAACTTTATCCACTTTTTGACATTTTAGGAGTTAATATTCTAGGGAAAATATGACTGGAATTGATCTGATGTCCTCCTGTTTTTAATTGCATTTATTTTTTACTGTTAGGTTCCTGTGGAATGTTTTAGTGGAATATGATCTGTGTGGACATATAGTGACCTCACTTCACTCATAAAACATCTATAATCAGGTATAAAATGTAATATTTAGACATTCAGGTTTATTTCTGGTTTATTCAACTGTATTTTGACCATATTTTTAATTATTTCATCTGAATGCAAAGAAGGAGGAAATAAATGTTACAATAAAGCTTGAATTCTTCAGACATTTAGTCATATTTAGTTGAGATTATTATTTATAATCCTCTATTGTGTTTCTAATGTAATTAGTCTGTAATTAGTTTATTTTATGTCACTAATTTTTTATGAATTTATTAAAAACGAGGATTTGTTTAAAAAAAAATCTGCCTCCTGTTGTAAATCCGTCCTTTAAAGTCTGAATCCTGCTTTTTGTGAGGAGTTTATTAACCATCAGGTTCAATGGATGCTGAACAAAGGCAGCTGCTAGGATTATTCCCTCCCCCCCACCCCCCTGCGCGTCCACGGCGCTCCGGGAGGCCGTGGATCTTCCCGCGTGGATCCGCAGAAAGAGGCGCTCAGAGGGAGAAGGATGATGCTGAAACGGAAACAAAGAGGAGGCTGAAAATCAGCAACAGCTTCAGCGTTTTATCGAAGCAGTGTGAGAGGAAGCCGCCCGCCGCTCGTCCACAGCTGCAGGCTGTGCGCGTTCATGGCTCCAGGCAGACTTTCTAATCGAGCGCTGAAAACAGGATGAGGATGACTGCTGCTAGAGGCTGAAAGGGTGCTGGGTTGTTTGGATTTAGTTCCAGTCTGACCGAGTTTCTTTTATTTATTTACTCTTTTATTATTCTTTTATAAGGAATAATGATACCTGATGGCAGGATTTAATTAATCTGGTCTTTGTTTTATTTTTTTCCAGTCCAGGATTGAATCAAACTGCTTCTAAACATTCAAAGAATAAATCCTAAACATATACTAGTTTTAGAGGAGTTCATCTTCAATAACTTTTATTATTCTTATCTCCTTCTTTTTTTTTTTTTTTTTTTTTTTTTTACAATGAAATTTAATATTCTTAAATGTCAAAGGTCAAGTTGATATACAGTAGAAAGTTGACATTGTTAGTAGAGGTAGTTCATTTCTATTATCCATACTTTATTGTATGTTTTATTTAAAATGATCTGTAGAAGTATTTCCTCTGACTATATTTTCCAATATATATATTTTTACAGTTTTTTTATTTAAGTCTTAAACACAAAATAATTTGCATATAATTTATTTCAGTCTGTCTCTACTCTGTGATTAAATAACCTTTTTTACCAAATATTTTTTACTCTGAGTTTTTTCCTTGAAAAGCTACTTTTCATTTTACTAGATTAGAGACATGTTGAAGCAGTGCTGCAGTTTTTTGGTCTTCTAACTTCCTTTCTTTCATGGGAGGGTTTGTCTGTAAAAAACAAAAAGTGATTTTCTTTCTATCTTTTTTTTTGTTGCATTTTTTGTGACTAATAAATATTACAAACACTTTTTTAAAGATCTTATATTAAGGAGTCAACTCACAAAAACCTGTTGATATAATTTAGTTTATATTCAGAATAATTTCCCGTCTCAAGAGAAACGCGTCTGAATTCCGCCTAGTTTGTCCCTCCATGCTTCCCGTAGTTTCACATGACTTCTACTGCGTGTGACTGAGCTGCATTCCTCAAGCTGAACTGACAGCTTCACAGGTCGGTTTGCAGTAATGGACAGAGGCGCCCAGTGAGCTCCGGGTCACCAACCTCTGCGCTCCGTTTTTACGCAGCGGGGCATTAGGACGGCTGGACGGTAGGACTGCGGGACATTAGGACAGCTGGTCAGCTGTTGCGGACTGGCTGCTGCTTTCTGTCAGTCCATGCTCAGCCTGCAGGAGGAAACCCATGATCGATCCCTGAAGATAACTGATGGCTGAGCTGAAGCCGCCAGACTCCAAGAAGTAAGATCTGAGCGGGTCAGTGGTTCTGATCTGATTCTGATCTGGTTCTGATCCGGTTTTGATCCTGTTGTGATCTGGTTTTAAAGTGGTTTTAATCCTGTTCTGATCTGGTTCTGATCCAGTTTAAATCTGGTTCTGATCTGATTCTGATCTGGTTTTGATCTAGTTCTGATCTGATTCCGATCTGGTTCTGATCTGGTTTTAATCTTGTTCTTATCCGGTTCTGATCTGGTTCTATAAACCCAGCAGTTTCAGACCCAAACCTTCAGGACTATAACCCTCCACCATCAGACTCCTCTCTGCTCTGCTCTCCTCCTGCTGCAGGTGCACTTACTTCTTCCTCTATGATGGGTCAAAGGTCAGAGGGGAGGGGGACCCCACCAGGGACGGCATCTGCTACTTCTACCCTGAAGATGTAGGACAGACTCACACACCACAGCACCTTTCTAACCCCCCCCCACCCAGCTGCCCCCCTAAAGACCTGCTGTCCCCTGTCCTCTCTGTCCTCTCTGTCCTCTCAGACCCCTCTGGACATGCAGGACCTGCTCTGCGGTCAGCTGGCCGGCGTCAGCCGCTGCGTCTCGGAGCTTTCCTCCTCTGATGTTCAAACGCTGAGGCTGCGGCGCTGCAAGTTCGCCATCCGCATGAAGGAGGACTTCTTCTGGGTAAGACCTGCTGCCCTGGCTCTCCTCCCTCCCCAGCAGGAACCCGTTCTGACTGTGTTCTCTGAAGGCTTTCGGCTGCTCCATGGAGGTTCCTACTGTCAGCGTCTGTGAGCTCCTGGATCATCTCATCAGCCTCTTCTGCTTCTACAACGGATCAGTTCGTCAGAGCTATCAGGTGTGTCACTTAGAGAAGGATTACAGCGAGACGAATTAATAAAAAACATAAATGTGTTTATGAATAGAACTTGTTTAAATCTTTCATCATGAACAGAACGTTCTCTAAGCTGAGGTCAATTATTTTGCAGCTCAGCAGTAAGGAGAACCTGGCCTCTCAATGGGCCCGGTACCTTTCCCACGTCCTGTCGGGCCCCTCCGAGCTGCACTACATTTTCCAAAGTGTGAGAACCATCGACCTAAGCAACGTGAGTTTGACATCAGTTCTGCTTTCGCTGCTTATCTCCGTCTGCTGCAGAGGAGGCAGGATGTGACAGTGTGAAAAGGCTCTGCTGTGTCACAGTAAAACCTCCAAACGTCTCTAAGGACAAAGAATCTCTCTGTAAAGACAACAAAAATGTTTCCACGAGGCAGAAAGAAGCTCAAATATGGTCAAAAGTGTTTAATTGATTGTTTCACCCATTCCAGAAAAAGATTTGTTGTTTATAGAACATTTTAAGCTTTTATTTATTGTAATTAAGATTTTCATGGTTTACAGAAAAGCTCTCTGAGAAAAGCTGTGGTTCTGCTGAGGGGTTTTTAGCTAAAGGGAAGAATAAACGGGTCTAAAAGTGGGGGGAGTGATGGCCTAGGTCAGAGGTCACGGATTAGCGGACTGCGGTCCAAATCAGGACCCACCTGCTGGCTAATCCAAACCCAACCTGATTTAAAACATTTATAAATTCCTGAATGGTGTCTGATGACAGTGTCTAATTTCACTTGCGCCGCTTCTCCTGTTAATACGGTAAAGCCCTCCGGAGCGTCCGGCTCCAGGCTCCACGTGATCCAGATTAGCCAATGAGCTGCTGTCAGTCTGAGTTGCTGCTGCTGCTACTTTTAGACACAGCAGGCAAACCTGTGGCGAGCCGGGCGATGGGAAAGAAGGAGAAGAGGATGAGAAAAAGAGAGCAGAGAAAGTGAACTGCGGTGAACTGGTGAAAGAAAAGTGAAATGGCGTGCTCAAAGATGACCCTGCACATTTAGAGGATGTTTGGCTCAACCTGCTGCTGTGAAGCAGGATTCTCCACCATGAACAGAATCAAAAATAAATCTGGATCCAGGCTCAAAATGAGCTCCTTGATATGTGCTTGAGAATGGCTTAGTCTCCATTCAAACCCAGGTTTAAAGCCTTGCAGGGCAGCATAAAGTCCACTGCTCTCATTAATTAAACATGTGAATCAGGAAATTGTCTATATACCAAACTGAATGATTGTTCTCTATTTCAAAAAACTCTTCAAAAAGTTTTTTTTTATTTTTTTTTATTAAATGTATAACATAGATGCATTAAAACCCGCTTTTTATTTCAGTGTTAAATTCAGTTTAAAGTAACAGAATATAACTAAAAATGTCTCCGGACCTTTACTGGTTGATGATTTTCTGTATTCGGGCCCCGCTGATTTTTAATTGATTACCCCTGGCCTAGTGGTTAGAGCATTGCAGTTAGCTCCTAGAGGTTCTGAGTTCAATTCCCACCCCCACAGCCTCCACTCTGGGTCCCTGAACAAGACCCTTAACCCCACACTGCTCCCCACAATTGCAGGGTGGGCAGATCTGTTTCTCTTCTCTCTCTGTGCTATACATGAATAAAACAATTTCCCACATTTGACTTGGACAGATTAGGAAAAATCATTATTATAAAAAACAAAAAAAGCACCGGTGCATTCTATAAAGCAAAGCTCCACTTAAAGAGTTTTTGCAGCATCTCAAACCAGAACATGTAGAATATATAAAATATAATCTCCATCTAAAGAAAAGGAAAACACATCAATGAACGCTGATAGAGATACGCTGCGCTTACCTGCTCTGTCTGCTCCTCGTTATTTTGGTTTATTGTGAGGTTTAAAGAGGATAAATACTTTATCCGTTTTCTTTCCTGCTGAACTCCTATCGTGGGTAAAATTTTATACTTTTTAATGTTTCATTCATTATTTTTACACCAGTGTGTCCTGCTTCCTGTATACGCGATGTGCGACTCTAAAGTGACTCTTTCCCTGTGTGAATAAACAGATTTTATTTTGTTTTACTCTATAACCGTGTCTCTCTTCCTGTCAGACCCATGAAATTACCGCTGAATTGCTGCGTAGTCTGACTAAAATAGACCTGGGCTCCGTCTCAGGCAGACCTTTGCAGCTCCTCTTGCGTAAAATTGTGTCAGGTGCGATCAACCCCATCGACTCTCAATGAACGCTAAAAGCCACGACCTCATCAGACTCGATCTGCTGTTGGATCAGACGCAAAATTGGAATCATGCATTATGATAAAGAAATAAATGAAACTAAGCAAATCCTCTCTTTAAAATCAATTAGTTTTGTAAACTCTTATTAATATTTCAGTCAGTTTTCTTTTTAATTTGCAAGGTCTAGTTTTAATTTTATTTGAGCTATTAGAAAGGTTTTTTTTAATTCAGTTTTTTCGTCATTTGATTTGTTTTATTGAACAATAACCTTCTTGGTCTTTGTGATCCAAACCTCAGAGGCCTTCAGAGAAAGCTGAATTATTCCTGATATTAAATATGGACTCAGATTATAGGATTTCTGAAAGAAATAATTCTTCTTTTTATTTTATTTTTATTATATCTTATCATTAACTATATTATATTTGCAGTGGGCTATATATTTAAATGTGATGATTTAAGATTTTTTAACATTCTGCTTCACCTTTCTTTGCTACTTTGTTTTGTTTTAAAACATAAAATCCATCTAAGAAGCACTAAGGTGTGAATCTGTAACATTATAAAATGAGGAAAAGTTTTTTTCTTGCTGTGGAGAGTCACAGATGACATAAATAAATTCAGGTTTGATCATCGGCAGCTTCCTCTGTCCCAAAAAGCTGCTGGAAACGTCTAAACTCTTCCTGAAAAGCAATAACAGACTCTTCTTCTCAGGTTGATCCACTTCTTCTCCTCAAAGCTGCCCTCATCCTTCAGGCCTGCCAGCGTTGCCCCCTAGTGTTGGCAGGCTGCATCCTTTTTAGAGGAAGGTCAGCTGATTTCTCTTTTTTCTCACCTGTTATTATTATTTTTTGTCTTCCTAATATCTCCTGATCTCTTCCAGGGTCGTCAGCACACAGATGCCTCCAGAGTTAACCATAAAGGTCATAGTTCATGAGAGCGAATCGTACTCTAAGGTAGGAATGATGGTCTTAATGCAGATAAATATTAAATAAGCTGGCAAAAAATCACATCTGGCTTGAATTTAATAATCTAGTTATAGTTTGATTTATAACTGATTTTGTGGAGATTTTACCTATTAGCATACTGTATGTCATGCTAGGCTAAACAGTTAGCCTAGCAGCTTTGTAGCATCACTTAACAGACCATTAATTATATATATTTTTTTATTGATAATGACAAAATTCTCTTAAAAAGTAAAGTCTGTTGGAAACCAAAGTGTTACTTTAACAGGAAATGTTTGTTTTCAGATCCAGCGGTCGAGTGGAGAGAGTCCAGCTAGCTCAGACGGCGGTTCTGTTAGCTCAGCGGCCGTGTTCCTGACACCATCAGAGCTCCAGGACCTGAAATCTGCTCCTGTGGACAAAACCTCCCGGTAAAGTTTTCCCTCCTGGACTCTACAACCAAACACAGAACCTCCATGCTAATAAAGCTCATTCTGTGTCTCTTAAAATCAGAGGGAAGGTTCCCCAGATTTTGCTTTTAGATTATTTTTAAAATCAGTTCAGGATAATCCAGATTAGATTATGTCCTTTAATCTTCTCTAAATCTAAACCAGACGTCTTCTGATTCAAAGAGGTTTCATTTTTTATCATACCAGCTTGTTTTGCACAATTTTCTTTATTTTCAGAAATCTGCGAAATAAAAAAACACGCATTTACTTTTTAAATGATGATCCTTCAGCTCACATTAAAACTGATATTTAATAATTTCTTTTATTTTAATTAATTCAACTTTATTGATCTCACATTGGAGAAATTTACTTTCTGCATTTAACCCCTCCCCTTGGGGAGCAGTGGGCTGCCACTGTGCGGCGCCCGGGGAGCAGTGTGGGGTAAAGGGTCTTGCTCAGGGACCCAGTGTGCAGGCTGTGGGAATCAAACCAGGTACTTTCCACCTTCCCGGAGCACAACGTACCACTAGGTCAACACCGCCCCTGCACTGCACTTTTATTATAGTCGGTTAGTAAATTAGACTTTGACAACTTTTATTGTAATTTTGTGTATACAAAATGAAATTTCGTTTAGTGCAGCTTTTCAGACAACAAATGAACTTTTCCATTCCATAAAGTGTAGCAGTGATTAAATAAGGATTCAGAAACAATAACAGATGTCACCTGTGTTCATAACTTCATAGTTACAATAAAATAAAAATGGGGCCAAATTTCTACTTTTTTGAGTTTTGCAAAAATATTATGTTTTGAAAACTTGGTAAAATGTGAACGACCTCTAATTATCATCTAATTCCAAATCCAATCAGTAAAAAAATGATTAAATCTTGTCTAATGTTTTAATTTAGTGATTATTGTGTAATTTGCATACTGGGCCTAATATCATCCTTTACTAAAATGAAACTGACCGCCCCTGCCATCCAGCAGCTGTGTGGCCCTGGGTGGTGAGCCGTATTGAGGCCTCTAACTGTCTGGATTTTTTACACCTTTCAGTTTCCATCCTGCTCCAGAGAAAGACGCCCCCCCAAAGAAGACCAGGCTTTCCAGAACCCTGTCGGACGCAGCCTCCTGCGAGTCGGAGCCGCCTCGTCCGGCGTCCTGCCAGTCGCCTCAGAAAGGCTCCATCAGCCCTCATCTGTCTGGATCTGAAGACTCTCCGTCGCAGAGAGCCCCTGATTCCCCCTCTCCTCTGTCACCGTGTTCGAATGGAACAAACGCTCCTGAAGCGGTGGAGGGAGACCCGGATGAGTTGCACTATCACAGTTTTTACAGCAGCGGAGACGTAGTGAGCCAGACGCTCAGCGAAGGAGACAGTTCAGCGTTTGAGGAAAGCGTCTATCTGAACGGAGCGCCCTCGGCGACCTTCTCAGCTGACGATTCGTTTGGAGAAGAAAAGATGACAGCGGGCCTCAAGGGGGAGAGCAGGCAGCCTCCTCCTGGTTCCTGGGCTCCTGACAGCTTGGAGGACAGCCCTCTGGTTGCCATGACGCTGTACACGCACAGGGTCAACAGCCTGGTGCTGGCCCTGCTGGTGGAGCCCGGGTTCATGAGTGACACTGCGTCTTTGGAGGAAGTGGTGAGGAGAAGCATGTTCATGGAGATGACATCACTGCAGCTGATAACTAAAGATGTTTTTTGGTTTTTTTTTAGAACCACAGCAGCCTGGCTTCCCTGAACGGACTGGAGGCCCATCTCAGAGCCATTCCTGCGGCGGCCCCCGGTGCTGCGGGCCCTTACCTGTTCGCCCATCATGACTCCATCCAGCACACTCTAACCAGTAAGGCCCTGTGCTTCCTCTTCCCCAACAGATCAGCTCTGCTGGTTTATATCTGTCCCTGATGGGCTGACGGCTAATTAGTCGAGCTGTGATCAGCATTCCTTTGTGCAGCTGCCGGGTTAACGGTCCTCTGTCATTGTGTGTCTCTGCAGCCAACGTGTCTGGCCGACCTGGGGGAGCCCCGGAGCATCCTTTTGTCCGAGCCACATCGCTGCTCCACTCGCATTTCTTTGACACTGAGACTCTGCAGGAGGCTATTATCAGGTCAGCTCTGGTCGGGGGAGATCTTGTTCCTCAGGGTGTGTGTGTGTGTGTGTGACAGTGGGGTAATTTGTCAGGTTTTCATGGTTATCATCGTACATCTTTTAATGCTTTTTTCAAACTATGGGCTCCTTTCTTTCAGCGCCGTTTTTTGAGCTTTAAGTAAAAATGTTTGCGCTCCGTTTCCCTCTCAGGAACGCCGGTACTGCCGTGTACGGGACCCGCAGCGTCGCGCAGGAGACCTTCTTCCAGCAGCACGGCGGATCCATGAGGAACTCCGGCATCCCCAACCAGCAGGACAGCGCCTTCTCGCTGCCCAGCAAGGCCCGGCACCGGCTGCTCAAACACGGGGTCAACCTGCTGTGATCGGGCCGACCGGACCCAGAACTTCAGCCAATGAAAAGAAGACCCGGCTCTTAACTTTAAAAGCTTCAGCAGATCTCAGATCGATACATGCTGACAAAATTCACAGGAGTTTGAAACTTTATTGCTTATTTTTAGCAACACAGAGAATGAAACGCAGCTTTCAACCTGATATCTCCAAATAAAACAGCAAAACTAGTTACATTATGATGCCGCCTAATTAAAGCTTAGAATAAAGAGTCTGCTGGTGTGTCATAAGTGGCTGCATCATGCTGTGGGATCCTTTTTTTTCAACGGCAACATTAAAACTGTTCAGAGTTATTAAAATAAACAAAAGCTGCAGAAGAAAAAGGCAGAAGACAACAACCCTAAAACATCCAGCTGATTCTAAAACATAGTGGTGGTGACATGAATATGTATGAAAATGGCCTAGTCAAACTCCAGGCATTCACGGCTCTGTGCTGGTTGGAAGATGAGAGAATGTGGAAAAGTTTCAATGGTGGAAAAAACTTTCTGACTGTTTTTTTTTTCATCTGCTTTGAATGTAAGATATATGTGAGCTCTTATAGAATTTGATTTGTTTACACAACAAACACCCATTCCATAACCTTCAAGCTGCTGATATTTTATTTTTTTAAATCTTTTTTTCCCTCCAGCTCTTATTAAAACATTAAAAGTTCTGATTCTGTTGCTTTATTTTCTCCATTTCAGCTTTTATTAAAGAATAAAAATGTTAAACATCTAAAAGCTCTGCTTGTTGTTGTTCTACTGCGCTCTTTCAATCCAAACCATGTGAATCCCTTCTTTTTGTTACTCCATGTTTAAAGCCACAGGGGCCCTCTTAGGGCCAGCAGCAGTGGCCCCCATTGTTTTCTCACTTTTAGTTTCTAAAATGACCCTGATGAAAAAAGGGGAGTGTGCACAACATAACTAAACACATGGATGTGTGAATGTAGTTTTATTCCCTGATGCTTTGCTGCTGTAAATAAAGCCTGCTCCAAATATGGGCTGATTAGAGTCATTAGTAGAGCGGCTGAATGTGAAAGGAGCTGGGCGGCGCGCTTTGGGGCGCCTCATTATGCAGGCGCATTAAAAGAAAGCAGCAGGGGTCAAATGAGTAGTTTAAGGAGCAGGGACAAAAAAAGGGGGCAGGGACTGAGAGGAGGGATTCAAATTCTAAATGATGAGCTGTGCCTTTTGTCAGCGGGGTATATAGAGCGGAGAGAAGTCAGTCAGTTTGGAAAAGCGCAGAGTTTAGGCTCCCATCATGGCTGCTCCACACTACCTACGGATTGTTTCATTTGTTTTCTTACTAACAAGCGATGTCGGAGTCTTGGGTCGCGCGTTGGACTCGCCTGGGTTCCGGTTACAGTCTGCACAGACCGCGGATGGATCATCTAGACAGGTTTTACGCACGGATAGAGAGACGCGGTGGAGGCGCGCGGCGGCGCGCTGCGCGGAGCTGGGAGGCCCCTGGATGGAGAACATGCAGCAGGCTCCCCGGGATGGATCCACGGTGCTGCAGCTCCGGGTGCGGCCCTTTTCCCCCGGAGCCTTGCGTGGGTTGGTTTTTCCCGGGAAATCTCTCTTCAGTTTTATCCGACGGGTTTACCGCTGCTGCAAGGAGGGAGGCGGCTGCAGGAGCGTTAAAGGGATTCAAGGCAGGCTGAGAGGAGGTGAGGATCCACATTACATGGTCAGAGGTCACTTTGCTTCTGCTGCTCCAAGTTACTATAATTATGATCAAATCCTTGGTTTGAAATTGAAATGAATCCCATGTGACTGCATGAAGTCCCTGACCTGCAGAAATGTCTCCTGGATAAACAAAAACTGGCAGTTTCCTTAATTGAACTTTGACCTTTATTGATCTCACATTGGAGAAATTAACACTCTGCATTTAACCCATCCCCTTCATCTGTAAAAAAAATCATCTAGAAATAAGTAAACATTCCTTAAATAAGTGTATTTACCTTTAATTTTAGTAGTTAAATAAGATGATTTGTCAATGGAATGAGTAATCTTACTCTTAAAATAAGATGATTAGATAATTTTCACTTGTAATAAGACAATGCAGTTGCTTTTTCTTATTTTAAATGGAAGTAGTCTTGTTCCATTGGCAAAGTGTCTCACTTACCTCCTCAATTCAAGACTAAATGCACTTATTTTAAGAAAAGAATGACTTATTTAGATTTTTGTGAGCAGTGGGCTGCCATTGTGCAGCGCCCGGGGAGCCGTGTGGGGTTAAAGGTCAGGTTGTGGAGATTGAACCGGGTACTCACAACCTTCTCAGAGCACAAGCACACTGCTCTAACCACTAGGCCAACACTCCTTATATTGTGTTGTTGATTTTGCAGAAATCCTCTTTCTCAGCGAAAGTAGAGAGGAAATTTTTCTTTTGAACAGAAACAAGCTTGTAAAGTTTTTGAGAAGACAGACAACATATCACATCTATAAAGGGATGCAGTTTTGCCTGAAAGGTTGTGTGAGGGAATCCCTTCCTGCCCCCACACTAGACCTCAGTCTGTCCAGGAGGGCCGGTGTCCTGCACTGCAAAAACAATCCAGAAATAAGTAAAAAATGGCTTAAATTAAGTATATTTAGCCTTAATTTGAGCAGGTAAATAAGATGATTTGCCAATGGAATGAGTATTTTCACTCTTAAAATAAGATAGTTAGATAATATTTACTTGAAATAAGACGATAAAATAGTTTTTTCTTATTTTAAAAGGAAATTGTCTTGTTCCATTGGCAAAGTGTCTTACTTATCTCCTCAAATCAAGGAAAAACACACTTATTTTAAGAAAAAATAACTTATTGAGATTTATATTTTTTGCAGTGTGCATGTTTTAGACGTCCGTCTGCTTCAGAGCACCTATTTTTCATTGATGGCTGATGAACAGAGCTTTAATGCAGAGACATTTCTAAAACCTGCAGGATGGGTGCATAATTATTTAGTCTTTGTTTTCTCAGGTCCAACAGATAAACTGATCAGCTCTTTAAAAACATTCAAATAGTCCTTTATTAGCTTTGGTGTCTGTCCACCTTCTGCACACTGGACAAAAATCTAAATCTAGATAAGTCATTATTCCTTAAACTAAGTGCATTTGTTCTTGAATTGAGGAGGTAAAAGAGACATTTTGCCAATGGACTAAGACAGTTTAGATTTAAAATAAGAAGACACAACTGCATTGTCTTATTTCAAGTGCATTTGATCTAAATATCTTATTTTAATAGTAAACATACTTATTCCATTAGCAAATCATCTCATTTACCTACTCAAATTAAGGGTAAACACACTTAATTTGAGAAATTTGTACTTCTTTATAGATCGTTTTCCAGTGCAGAAATTGCAAAAAATAAAAGCACACTGGAAAAACAATCTAGAAATAAGTAAAAAGGGCTTAAATTAAGCGCATTTACCCTTAATTTGAGTCAGTAAATGAAATAGTTTGCCAATGAAATGAGTATTTTTACTCTTAAAATAAGATAATTAGATAACATGCACTTGAAATAAGACAATGCAATTGTGTTTTCTTGTTTTAAGTGTAAATTGTCTTGTTCCATTGGCAAAATGTCTGTTTTACCTCCTTAATCCAAGAGTAGACGCACTTAATTTAAGAAAAAATTACTCATCTAGATTTTGATTTTTTCCAGTGCATGTCTGGGGTTTTTTATGAACAGCTGAGCCATAACGTTTGTATGTGTTGTGCTGCTCTCCTACCCTTGCTGCCCTGGGCAGAGAGCCATGTCACCCATCTTAAATAAATCCGTCTCTAAACCAGCAGGGTCCTAAAAATGTTTAATTATCCTTAACTAAAAAAATCAAAGATGTAGTTGCTTTACGAAAAGTTTGCTATGACAGATCTTCACTTTTCAGTGGGATTAAACATCAACACATGCTTTATTAGAAATACAGCAGCTTTCCTCATTTCTGCCCTAATTATGTCTTTATGGTATAACTGAAGACTGAAGAGTTAGTGACCAGGAGGGAAAATAATTAGAGCATATTTCTATAAATAAAACACAGCAGCACAAACTATTTCCTGCAGCTGTGCATTTGGAGCGAAGGATTTAGTGAAACCAACTGAAGAGGGAATTTAATTTAATGCCAAACGGAAAGCAGATAATCACATCAACTGAGCCCTGTCACACAGCTGCAATGTGAGGCCTTGTTTTCTAGCTTATTTGGTGAACTGCAGCCTCCTCGTTGAATGGAAAATGCAAATCAGCAACTGAAAACTGGTACGGGGGTGCAGAGCCATACTGTCCATATGGAAATCGAAGCCGGTTAAGGCAGAGGAGACGGTCAAAGGCTTAGAAACCTCTGCTACAAAGGATGCATTCCTACTGTAGCTGAAGGAGGTTTTTAAGCTTTGGTCACATGAGGAACAGATATAATTTAAACATCTAAAAAAAGGATGCATACCATAAACAGCCTTAACATTTGATCAGTTATGGAGCATTTCAAAAACACCCGGAAGTTACTTCCTTCTCTGCGTCTAATGGAAAAAAACTCCAAATAAAGAAATATGAACACATCTCCCTCCTCTAAATCTGTTTGCCATGGTAACATTTTAAATGCAAACGTAGGCATTGTTGAGTCTGAATCACACTGAAAGGGGGGAGGGATTAGTTGGAGCAAAGATGTAACCTGTTGGTTTGGAAAAGATAAGGTGATGATAGCAGATTAGTGATGCTAATAAGGAAATGATATGGAGCAACCGTGACATAGAGACAGCATGAAGAACTGTGACATAAATGCTTGTAAGCCTTGGTGAAATACTGTGAAAATCAAATATTCAAGCCAATAGTGTTATTGGAATCCAGGACAAGACCTCATTTCCTTTGTAACATTCAAAAAATATGGATATTTTGATGGAAAAAAAAAATACGCCAACTTGCCCGAATATATTAAGAAAAATAACAAAAGTGCTTCAAGAAGAAATTCATGAAAAACACTCAGAGAGTGAAAGAAACACATTTTTAATACAACAACCTTAGAGGCATTAATGCTGATACTGGCACTGACATTTTTTAGTTTATAAACCTAAATATAATTGTTAACTAGGCTTATTAAGTCTTTAACTTTTCAATCAGCTTTTTACCTTTTTTTCTTGACTTTTTAAACTTTCTTTTTCTGCTTTATTTACAGTAGGTAATATATAATTCAAGGGTTCATCTAATTGGTCAAATAACAGCACAGAGCGCAGGATCTTAGCTAAATGGCTGGACATTTCCCTCAGTGAGGGACGGGGGGGGGGGGGACATGCAAGTGATCAAAAACGGTAACTTGCTTTATTAAGGGTTAAAGGCGTAGCAGAGTTATGGATCTTAGTGACTTGATAACTGCGACTCAAACAAGGACCGTGTCGTCTGCATACATGGAAATCCTGGGTTTGATTTTCTCTCTGCAAATTGTTCAGGTATCCATGGAGATTAACACAGCAATTACACTGGAAAAAAAATTAAATCTTATTGAGTCTAGATGAGTCATTTCATCTTAAAATAAGTCAATTTTTTTCTTGAATTTATGTGGTAAGTGAGACACTTTGCTAATGGAACAAGACAATTTACACTTAAAATAAGAAAAAACAATTATATTGTCTTATTTAAAGTGCATATTATCTAATTATCCTATTTTAAGAGCAAAACTACTGATTCTATTGGCAAATAATCTTATTTACCTGCTCAAATTGAGGGGAAATACACAATTTAAGAAATTTTTACTTATTCCTGGATCGTTTTTGCAGTGTAGAAACCTCCACTCAGAGCGGGGAGACTCCGCCCCCTCGGCTTTCTAATAACTGACCCATACAGGTGTGGATAAAGCTCGGCTCCAGTATCTAAGTAATAAAGAACGAAAGTCATAAACAGATGAAAAATGAGGTATTAGTGGTTCATTCTGTTTGTGTTGCTTTTTCACTGAGGTTATTGAGATGTTTGTGCATCCAGCTGATATTTGGAGACATGAGCGTCCTCCGCTGTCAGTCTAGGCTAAAAACGTGACTCTGTTCTATGAAACACTCGACTGAATGTTCTGCTTCTTCTTCTTCCACCAGATGCGGGTGTTGAATTCGTCCTGACCAGGGAGATTTTAGCGATGACGGTGAGGAGAGCCGAGCTTCATCTTCAGCTCTCCAACCCCCAGCATCTCAACATCACCCCCATCATTCCCTTCATGGTGAAGCACAATTTCCCCACCAGGTAAAATCACGCTTCCTATTTCACACGGGATCATCAGCAGAAGATAAAACAACAAACCGAAACTGCGATCATGAAATTTAATATTCACTATTTTCACCATTATCTTTATAGATATTTCAACAGTATTTCCAATAATATAGAGAACATAGGTGTGCTCTCACATTAAAGGAAAATTTCAGGGTAGTCGACTTACATTCAGCTTGTCGTTTCTTGCACACCAGGATATTTTAGAGCAACACTTATAACACACAGAGCATATGAGGAAACAAAGAACAAAAAACACAAATCCCCCTGAAAAAAAATAACAATTACAACAATAATGGTTTCTCTGTTTCCAAAAGAAATAGTTTTATTATTATACATAGTTCAGAAAATACAAATTTAAATGTATAATTCAAGTAAAATCATTGGTTATACTAATATCGAAGCTTATTTTAGGACACTTTAGGAAACCAGCTGCCACCATAGTTCATCCCCATCACCCCTCATATCCATGTTTTCTATATATTCCATAAAAGGACCCCAAATAGCTTGAAATAGAGATAATTTCCCTTTTACAATGAAAGTAATATTGTAATTTTGTAGATATTTCCTTAATCCAACTGCTGAATTTTGGTTTATTGGTATTAATGTTTGTTTTGCTTGCAGGTACAGCCTGATTTCTCTGGGCGACGCAGTAGAGCTGAAGGTGGACCTCCTGTTCCTGTTGCAGAACCTGCAGGACGCGGCAGCCGGCGGCGGAGGAGGCGATGGCCATAGCTTGGTAAACATGCACCTGGGGAGGCTTATCTCCAATGAGGAGCTAACAGGTGGAAAAACCTCTCTGAGAATTCTGCAGGACACTGATGGACAAATGTGGGACGATGGGGTTGATAACGGGCTCCTGGCTCTGGATGTGGGCCTGATTCTGGGCTGCAGTCGGGCTGGATCGGCCGTCCCCTGTGGAAGCGGGGGTGTGCACCTCGCACACGCACCCTTCATGGCCTTTTATTACGGATGATGGACTTTTCAGCATAAAATCATTTCATCCGTCAGAAAATTTCAAACTTTAAGATGTATCATGCACTTCAGTGTCAAGTTTAATTTATAGACATTTTGCAAGCTCTACATATATAGATCTATATATATTATATATATATAAATATGTAAATATTTTGTTTTTAAAGATTATTTTGTGAATTTCTTTTGATGATAAAGTTCTAGAAAAACAAGGTGTGGTCTTTTCATGTGGTAGATGTGTTTCAGTCCACTTTGTTCAGCTGTTCTGCTTCTAGCTGATGACTTTCCAGTGGGGTGAGACCACCTGAGCAAACACAGGGTGGGAACATGGTGCTGTGACCCTGAGCAGGAAAAAACAGAAGCACTGTTAACCTGTAAAGTTGCTTCTCTATGGGTTGGAACATCAGCCAAATGTCCATTTTATTTAGGTTTTTTCTACAGTTTCTTTTAATTCTGATGATTTTGTCTATAAACTGATCAAAATCCAAAATATTTTTTTCTATAATCTTGTAGAAAACTGAATTTGCACAGACTTTAAACACAAAAGGGGCAAACAAACAGGTTTTAACAGAACTTATATTTCTAAAAAGCAAAGATTGTAGTAAAGAAACGCTCCAGCGGGATCTGGTGGTGGATTTTTTTAACAGTCGGGATCCAGCTGCTAATTATTCCCTTTTTTCATTAGACCAAACATTTTCCTATTTAATATAATAATCTGATTATTTCATGCTTAAAGAAAATCCCATCCATAACATCAAACTAACTGTGATGTTCAGTCATTACTACTGAGCAAAGGAAAACATAAAATGATTAAATAGACCCATTATACAGATGCAGAAATTTTAATAAAATAAACATACATTATCTGTTCTAGGTTGTGTCCCTCTCTTCTTGTTTTCCTCTCTATGTTTTGTACTCAGCTGACTTTTCATGCTGTCTCTAAAGGAATGAAAGATTTTTTCCAAGCACTAAGCTCACTTAGCTGATTGCTCCTTCCTGTGTTTCCAAAAAGGCCAAAGTAAATAACCCAGTCCTTCTTTTCACTGTAGACAAGCCATGATCTGCTTATCTGTTCTCCATTTTTCATTTGGATGAAATAATATCTGCATGAATCATGACAGGAGACAAGATAGAGGAGAGCAGGAGGCGGGGTTACCAATCTACTCGCTCTGGAGAGCAGAGTTCGCTGCTTTTAGATGTTGTCGCTAAAGTCCAGTAGCAGAAAAAAGCTGCTAGATGTGACGCTAGCCGCTTTTTTGAAATAAAAGTGCTAGAGGGGTCGCAGAAGTCGCTAAATATAGCGACTAAAGCGCTAAGTTGGCAACAACCGTTGGTTTTCAAATGGTTTGCTGCTGTCTGTTTGGACCTTTCTGAACATGTGCAGCAAATGGACTGATCCAATATGGTGGACACTGAAGGGGGGGCTGAGACGCACTTAATATTATCAGCGTTCTGATGGCATTTTAGTGAAAGGATAATTAATAATTGATGTGCACAAATAAGGAATAGTTGTACTATAACGTACTGTAACTTGGGGCCCTAGGCAACTGCCTATTATTGTCTATTGGTAAATCCCCAGCTGGCCAAAATGTTTCTGCTTTTTAAATTCGATAGTAAGTCATTCATCCTGAAAACAGCATTTTCAGGGCGCGCCAATGTCATGGCTAATTCAAAGTGATTAGCATCTCTCCAATTTACACCTGAATAGATTGCATGAATTCCATGTCCTGTTACAAACATTACATAATCAATAATTCAGTTAAAGACTAATGACACACTGACAGCTTTCACCTTGTGTAAAATTTCACACCTGAAAAGGGAAAGAAAAAGATTTTTAAGGATGCAGGTCTTTTTTATGGCCGTTTTTTAAAATGTTTTGATCCCAGGAAGTTAGCATTTTATAGGTTATCAATTCGTCCCAATTTTCTTTCATTCTCACCATTGAGAACATGTTCAGTAGAGCATCCATTATCCTTCATGTCGTAGCCGCTGTCTTCTGGATTTTCTAGCAGTGTTGTATGAATATTGAGCAGAAGATGAAAGTGTGACAGCTTTGAGAGGATGTGAAGTAAAGCCCATTCAGTGGATGGACTGATCCACATGGTGTGGACTTCAGATGGACTCAGAGCTTCACAACCACCACAAAATCTTTAAAGGAGTCCATCTGGTGCATTTAATCTAAACCAGAGACTGTGTCTAAAACCTCTAACCAGGATTAAAGAGAAAAGGCCTGTGGTCTAAAGGCTTTTCATTTTCAGATAAACGTAATTTTAGGTCAGCAAACTGGTTCAACCTAAAGCTCTGGGTTTCTTTAACTCTTCAGGAGACACAAAGATAAGTCCTATCTATGTTTACATAATTCCATTTACTTTTCTTAGTAATAAGAAAATCAGGAAAAATCTAATTGGAGGTTTTTATGAGATGTGAGAAACAATCAAGCCATCAGTAACACAGAGATATTTGACTTTTATTGTTGAAAATGAGTCAGTAAAACATCTTTTGGAGAGATGCAGCTGTACCAGGTGTGATTCACCTGTGCAGCTTATATCTATGTGTCTAATGTGCAGGTTTACTAGTGGTTTCTAGAATTTCTAAAAGTAGAATGGGAGGCAGATCTTTTAGTTATCAGGCTCCTCTCCTGTGGAACCAACTACCAGTTTTAGTCCGTGAGGCAGACACCCTGTCTACTTTTAAGGCTAGGCTTAAAACTTTCCTTTTTGATAAAGCTTATAGTTAGAGTGGCTCAGGTTATCCTGAGCTATCTCTATAGTTATGCTGCTATAGGCTTAGACTGCTGGAGGACATAGGGACCCCTTTTTCATCATTCTGCCTCATTCTATCTCTATTCTCCCACTCTGCAGAATCTGTTACTTCAATCTCTAACGTTCTGCTCTCTCTGCTTTTTCTCATAGTAGCTTCATCTGGTCTGTTCCTGTTTGGCTTTGACTCCATCCTGGAGAGAAATATCAGCTGTGCTGCTGCCATCAACACCTTTGTTTATAGATGTTGGAGATCAGCCCGTTTTCCAGTGTGGTCCTGTTTCTCTGACCGTGACTGGGTGGATGTGCCCTCTTCATCCTCTGACATGGGAGCTGGCTCGGAGCTCGTCTGCCTGGTTGCGTGTTTCCTGGACAGGCCGTCTTTTACAGCTGCTTTTTGTATCTCTGCTTCTGTCTCCATGAACCCCAGTCGGCCTCTGCAGATGGCCGCTCACACTAAGCCAGTTGTGCTTGAGGTTCCTTCCTGTTAAAAGGGAGTTTTTCCTCTCCACTGTCGCTACTTGTCAATTAGAGTAAATGAGTCGATGCAATCAACTGCTTTTTCTTAGATGGAAAACTTTGAACCAATCTGACTGGATGATCTGGTGATAAACTGCCTGGAGATGACGTGTTGTGAATTGGAGCTATAGAAATAAACTGAATGGAATTAATCAGAGGCTGGCGGCTAAACACCTGAACAAACACAGCTACCACGTGAACTCCAATGCATCAAACAAAAAAAAAAACAACTTGAAACAGATTCTGATAAAAATAGCACATTTATTAAAAAGATACAGCATAAATCAGCAATTGTCCCATCTTGCATCTTGAAATATGCCACATCTGCGTCACAAGATCAGGGGTCTTACAAATGTTTCTTAGTCAACCTCCTGCTGCTGTTGCCACCTCTGACGTTTATCCAACTGGTGTATCTACAGTATGACAGGATGCATAAAGCAAAAAGAAGAAAACTCGTTCAATCAAACAACCGCACCGTGTGACTGCCAGCAGACCTCGCTGAACGAATGGAGGCGACTGATGAGCTCGTGGTTCTGCTCTTCAGCCGCAGTCTCGCTTTGAACGGATCTAATCCAGGCAGCTTTATGGGGGAAATTAGAGCAAACATGCTAGTAAACACTTTAATCAATAATCATAGTTCCTGTTGCTTTTTTTCTTCTTTTTTTTTAGGTCATCATAGAGGAGCTTTTTTTTTTTATATATAATTTATATAGTGGGAGAAAAACAGATTCATGGGTTCAGAAAGCTTATGGGATCAGATAACATCAATAAATACATGGGCGGACGTCTGAATTTGTAAATCAAAAGTCAGTAATTTGATTTGCTTTTTGTTTCTTGTTATCAACTCATACAAACAATAGTTTTTTTTTTGTGGGGAACAAGTTTAGAAGTTATGGAAAATACAAGTATGGTTTTACGAGTATGAAACAATAAAGAAGCAGTTCCACTCCCTCCCAGTAGGGGGTAGTAATAAACATGTTTGCCATTAATAAGAAAATTATGTGTTGAACAGAACATTTCAGCAAAGACGTTTGATCCATGATTTTGTTCATGTTCTCATTAAATGGCGACTGGAGAGCAACTTTCAGGTGAATTACTGCCACCTGCTGGTAGGGAGGGGAACAGCTTTATTAGTTTGTAGATATGTAGTAGTAACATTTATACTTGTATTTTGCTGAAGTTGTAAGTTTGTAACTTTATTCTCACATATAAAATATCAGATTTTACGTTTGTATGCGTTGACAATGAATAAATAATCTTAATTTAATTATGTATTTCATGTTTAAATAGAGCAGCAAGTATTCAGTTCTTTTTAAGGACATTAATCACTTTTACTAACAGAACCACAGATAAATCTTCTATATTTTAAAACAGAAGAAGTTTTTCTTCCCCTGAGATATGCTCAGGTTTAATACTCTGTTTTGAAAGATTTATATTATTGGTAAATATAAGTATAAACTTTGAATGAGATAAGAATCCCATGAATCGACAAATTAAGGCACCAACACAATCATTTTTATTGACAGTTATCTTTGAAAAAAATATTAAATGCATCAAACCAGGATGGATTTCCAACCCCTTCAGACTCTAAATGCACCATTTTAGGGATCCATGTTTTGATGCAGGAATAATGATTTTTAATTAACCATTTTTTTTCTTATGTGGTGCAGATAAATAGAAAACCCTGACAAAAAGTGGGAGATCGGTATTGAACAGGAAAAGCCAGAGAGGTCCATCATTAATATAATTAGAAAAATGAAATCTGATGGGATGGCGTTTCTTTGGTTCCTGTGTGGCAAGAAAAACAAAAACATCTTCAGTCTCGTTCATTCAGCTGTGGGATGAAAAGACAAGCGGTCCTAAAATGACGCCGCTGTGTGTTTGGGGGAGGTGGATGTTTCTCAGCTGGCTTTGCTCCTAGTAAAGTTGAGGTCAGTGAGTTTAGATGGAATAACTCTGCTTCTGAATTCGAGCCCCTGTTGGGAAAAAGAATCCCTGAAAACTGTCCATCGACGAAGCAGCCAGGATGTTCTTGTATGACCGACAAAAAGCGCAATCTCAAGGCGAAGGATGGTAAAGCACAATGTATTCAATAATTCAAGGCAACAACAAAAAAAAAACAAAAGAAAACATACATGAGGCAGTGCAAAATGTCACACCAATAGAATATCATGTTTCACAAACTTAAAACAGATCCTGAGGAAGAAAAGAACTCAAATATAAACATCTTCAGGTCAGCCCCCTCTGATTTAAATTACAATAAAACCGAAGCCGCCGCATTATCCGACGCCGCGCCTCATCGATCCCTAAATGCCAGGAACCGACGAGCGCTTCTCCCCAGAAAGAAAGGCCACGAATTTAAAACACCCCAAACACCTCGGCTACATGAAAGAAACTCCCCGAAACGACGACAACTAAAGCGTTTCTGTACCGTTTATATACACACGCGACTGTGTAGACCGACCGCCAGGAGGACGATGGTGACTTTGGTGCTGAATTAAACCAACGCATCTTTACGGGAGAAAAGTAAAGGTGCTTCTGCTTTCAGTGAAAACAACTGAAAAAAAAAGGCA